GGCTTGTCTCTGCCTCCTGTCCCTGGGAGCTCCGTCGGGAAGACGCAAGCAGCCAGGGTGATTCAGGCGGTTGGGGGCGGGAATGATCTGGAGGCTCCTTCCTTCGCGCGTCTGTGCCTGGGCTGGGATGACTGGGAAGCTGGGCTCAGCGGGGACGGTTGACTGGAGTACTTGCATATGGCCTGTCCATGTGGCTGGGACTGCTCACGGAGCGGTGGCTGGGCTCCAGGAGGAAGAGGGAGAGAGCATATGGAGAGTGAGCGTTCCAGGAAACCGAGCGAAGGCTGCCTGGCCTTTTATGGTGGTGGCCTCAGAAGTCACATGGCATTGCTTCTGCCATACTCTGATTGGTTAAAGTCTCCAGCTCACCCAGACACAGGGGAGGGGCACAGGCCCCGCCGCTCAATGGGAGGCATATAGGAGAATTTGCAGCCATTATAAAACAAAACTATCACATGTACAAACACAAGTATATTTAAAGGACTATGTTACCTCAACCTCTGAGATTTGAAAGGGGCCGTAAAGGATTATCTATTTGGGCCTCTCACCGAGGACTCAGCTCCTCTCTACGACCTTCCGGTCATCACATGGCTGGACCACTGCAGGTGTTTCCTTTCTGGTCTCCTGTCATCCACTCTTGCCCCTTTCCAGCCTGTTCTTCATTCCACAGCCAGAATGATTGCTCTAAATCACAAATTTGCTCTTGTGTATCACCCACCCTCACCTCCATCTCCCATGTCTTCAAACTACAACCTGTAACCCTGCAGTGGTCAGGCCGTCACCTACCTCTGCAGCTTATCTCATGCCATGCCTGCCAATGTTATCCCTGACCTAGCTATGGTCACCTCCTTTCAGTTCCCTGTACTTTTATGCTTCTTCCTGCCACAGGGCCTTTGCATATGTCTGTCCCTCTACATGGGATGTTTTTCTCCTACCCTCTTTGTTTGGTTAACTTCTTTGTATTCTTTGGATCTCTGCTTCATAGTCAGTTTCCCAGTGATGTACTTTCTGATCTGCCTGATCAGGTCACATCCTCCTATGACATCCTTGTAAGGTCTATGTATCTTTCAGTTGTAACACTGATCATTTTTCCATTTGTGAGAATGTTCAACTCTGCATCTCCCATAAGACTTGAGTTCTGTGAAGCCATAGATGCTGTATATTTTTCACTATCTATTCTTTTTTAAAATATGTTTTTTTAATTGATATTTTAGAGAGAGAGAGAAACATCGATGTGAGCGAGAAACATTGATTGGCTGCCTCCTGCATGCCCCCCACTGGGGATTGAGCCCACAACCCGGGCATGTGCCCTGACTGGGACTTGAACTGGGACATCTCAGTCCATGGGACAATGCTCAATCCACTGAGCCACACCAGCTGGGCTTACTATTTATTCTTTATACCTTACATGAAGATGGTATACATATTATTATCTAAGTGTAAAATATTTTTTATTTTAGAAGTGAAAACTTTTTTTTTATCCTCACCTGAGGACATTTTTCCATTTTTTGTTTAGATAGAGTGGGAGGGAGAGAGAGGAAGAGAGAGAGAGAGAGAGAAACATCGATGTGAAAGGGACACATCGAGTGGCTGCCACCCGCACAACCCAACCAGGGCTGGGGACAAACTGCAACCGAGGTACGCGCCCTTAGCGGGAACCAAACCTGGGTCTCTCTGGACCGCAGGCTGACACTCTAACCACTGAGCCAAACTGGCCAGGGCAGAAGTGAAAACGTTTTAATGGGGCCTAAGAATTTGTTATTTCTTTGTTAGCCTACATTCCTATTCTAGTTCAAGATGGGCTCCAGTTAACTGCCTACAGGCAACACAAACTATTCTTAAAGGGAAGTTCCTGTCTAGGTAATATTTGGGTTAAGGGCAAGCCATTCTATCTTTTAACAATAATTTCAGTCAGTAAATAAGTCTTTGGAGTGGGTTTCTCTGAAATTCTTCATATCAGTTATTCTCTGAATTTGGTGTTACTTGCTAATTCAATGAACGTGCTGTCTTCCCTGGCTTTGTGTACTACCCATATATAGAACAAGGCAAGACTGCATGCAAAGTGTGAAGCTGAGTCTATCTAGGAGATAAGCAACCTGAGAAGGAAGGAATGAGGGATGAAAGCCGTATCAGTCTCCCATGTACAATTGCAAAATGTCCATGTACACCTGACTACATGTGGTAACAGAAACACAATTTTTATTGCAGACCAAGGCAGCTCCCAAGGAGCACAGATGCTTTAATGAAATGCTGTGTTAGACTTTGGTGTCCTGTAGCTGTCTATGCGTCTTGCTGCTTGTTTCTGTGTAAGGTGGGTTTTGGATAACAGGTCCGAGGGAGCATTGGATGCTGCTGGTGAGGGCTTTAGTCATTCTGATATGGTGATTATGAGACGAAGGAGCTAAGAGGGGCTTTGAGGATTGCTTGCCCAGGACAAAGGCTGGTTCTTGCTTACAGACTGAGTGAGCAAGTCCACCGACTTACCTTTAAAGTAGTATTGGTTTACACCTGATGTGTCCTAAGGATGATGAAGGCCAGTTTCTTGGGTATCTGTAAATCCCAAGAATGGGGGATTTAAAAGAAAGAACACAATGAATCAAAAAGGAAATGTGTGATAATGAATTCCAAGTTAAACAAAGGAAACTGAAAATAGTATTTCAGAAAACCATCACTGTTTAGCTTTTGTGCATACAGAGTATATTACAAATAAAAAACTCAAATATTTTAAGATTTTGGCCCTGGCCAGGTGGCTCAGTTAGTTGGAACATCATTCAGTACATCAAAAGGTTGCAGGTTCGATTCCTGGTGAAGGGCACATACCTAGGTAGTGGGTTTAATCCCCAGTCGGAGCGTGTATGAAAGGCAACCTATCCGTGTTTCTCTCTCACATTGATGCTTCTCTCTCTCTCTTCCTCTCTACACATATCCTTGGGTGAGGATTTAAATATATATTTTAAGATTTCAGGTGTAGTTTGGGGTTTTGTGGGCAGACCACAGTGGGTGTGGGGTGAAGACCAGGCTGCATATACAGAAAGCACTGCTCCAGCCCTGGCCAGTTTGGCTCAGCGGTTAGAGCGTCGGCCTGCGGTCCAGAGAGACCCGGGTTCGGTTCCTGCTAAGGGCACGTACTTCGGTTGCAGTTTGTCCCCGGCCCTGGTTGGTCGTGCGGGTGGCAGCCACTCGATGTGTCCCTTCACGTCGATGTTTCTCACTCTCTCTCCCTTCCTCTCTCTCCCTCCCACTCTATCTGTACAAAAAATGGAAAAATATCCTTGGGTGAGGAAAAAAAAAAAGACAGAAAGCACTGCTCCTGAACCTGCTTGGGTCTCCAATCAGTTATGTGGATTCCGGCAAATGGTGTCCCCTCTGGGCCAGTATGCTTTTTTGTTAAACAAATAAACAAAAACACAGGGCTTTAATGACTACTCATTGTGTAGTGTTTTGTTTTTGTTTGTTTTGTGGGTTTTTTTTAGCATTTTTTTTTTTTAGTGCTTTTCTATTTGAAGAGCCTTCCTTCCCCCTTCCTGATCTCATTTGCTCCCCTCAGCAGCCTCCTGGGGTAGTTGGCCTGCGTATTGCCCCCGCTCCCCACCGGGTGACCCAGAGCCGCAGCTCCAGCTGGCGGGAGGGCGTGTGCAAACCCAGATTTCCTGGCTGCAATGCTTGGCTTGTTTGTTTGTTTCTGTCAGACAGTTCTAACATTTTTAGCTAATACTGTAGAAAGCTCTTGAAGTACCTCTTCTCTCTTTTTCATTTAAAATATTATCTAACGGCACCTAGCCACCTCTGGGGTCATCAGCACGATCCACACCACAGATCCATGGAAAGAGGGTCAGAGAACCATCCTGGAGGATGTTGTTTCTCTTCCTGCTTCTAATCAGTTACTCCCTTGCCTCCTTCCTCATGGAGGTTCCCCCTTTGTGCCCTGTGTCCTTGCCTTTCTGCCTACAGTTCCACACAGTGCTCACAGTGCTGGTAGGGACCCCAGGCTTCATGAGGGGTGTCTCTGGTCCTAGGTTAGTTGCAAACGGTTTTTCTTTCAGAAATAGTCTCATCGGAAAGAAATCCCCTGTGCTTTTTGGCATGTCCTGAACAGTAGCATCAAGATTCCTTTCAAATCCAACAAGATACAAGCCTCCTTGCTGCCATCTTCCCAAACATAGGCAACCCGTTATTCCGCTCGAGATGGGTTAGGAGCCTGAAAAAGATCTGCATTTGGATACTATGTCCTGTTGTGTTGCAGTTTGGGTTTTGGGTGAGGTTTGTTTTGGTGTCATCGGCCATGGCAGGTAGGCACATTCGTCTTTGACTTTCTGGATTGTAAGTTTCCCAGCAACCCTCATAGATGGTACAGAAGAAAGATTTAAAATCCATAAGCATGTTCCATCACTGAAATATGATGTTGCTTAAACGTCACTTCACAGAGACTACTCATCACCAACCCCGCCCTGTAGGTCAGCTGTGGCGTTTGCATATTTCTGGTTACGTACTGCATTGTTCGAATGGGTTGATTGTCTTCCACGTTGGGGTGTGAGCTCTGAGTAGTGCCTGTCTTGCCCAAAACTTCTCTCCAGGACCTACCACCACAGGCACTTAATGACTGTCTGATGTCTGACCGCTTGGTGTTTTGTTTCACAGGAACAGACAATCTACAGATCACTGTCACCCCAAACCCAGAGTCATTTTCTCCTGGGAAGTTGTTACCGATTTCACCAACATGGCCTTTCTCAGAAGTGCAGTCTTCCTCAGCAGTGGACAGAATCCGGCACGTGCTGGGACCGCCCCCTGACAACACCAGCGTGCTGCAGTTCTCCCGGACACCTCCTCCCAAGACGCTCCGCCGAGCTAGGGCTCACGGGGACTTCTCTTCTTCCCCTTACCAAGGGAGCGGACACAGCGCCTCCCTCGAGCCTTCCAAGGATTCCACTGAGCCGCTGGTCCAGCCAAGACCTCAAGGGGGGAAAGCGGCAGCCGGTGTGTCAGGTTTGCCTCACACTAGCATGCTCCCCCCATTGTCCACTGGCCCATCAGGGACGTCCTTGAGCCCTGTCCTCCCATCTCAGCCACTATGGGTGGGGACTCCTTCCATCTCAAAACGACATTCTCTGAGGTCAGACATCCTCCCTCTTCTCCCTCCATCTCCATCCTCTTCATTGGCTCCTGACTCACCTCATTCCATCATCTTTTCCAAACCAGCCAAGCGACCCACCAAAGTGCCTCCTTCCCCCCAAATAGCTCCAACTGACTCCTCTTCAAGTCAGAGTATAGCTAATCCCCTAAACCCTTTTGTTGATGAAATGAACCACACTCCATCCAAAAATGCCCAGGATTTAATAGGCATCCCTCGTCTAGGTTTTTCCGGATTGTCAACAAAGCAGTATTCGGAGCTGTCCCCCACGGAGGGTCCTCGCACAGCAGGTTCCCCGACACCAGAGTTTCTGAGCTCCGGGGCAGAACTGACCCATCTGTCTCCCCTTCCCCTAGTACCTGGAAGTCTTCAGCTCCCAGGTGGAACTCTCTCATGGTCAAGGTTGGAAGTGACTTCAAGTCCTGCATCCACCCAGCCAGTAGAAGCGGAGGTGGTCGAAAGAGTGCACAAGGAGGTTTTGAAGAGTGTGGAGGCAGCCGCCACCCAAGGGGCCGTGCCTTCGCTTTTCCAGACTGCTGAGTCAGTGGAAGTGATGAGCAGAAAGCTAGCCCCCGCCACTGCAAGAGGCTCTGCTAACCCACTGCATTGGTCAGCAGCTCCAGAGAGCTCCAGAGGGCCTGCCCTTTCTGCAGAACACACATCGTTCTCCTTGGTGCCTCCCACTGCAGCTGGCCGAGGACAAGCCATCCTTTCTGGGGAGGTTCCTGCATCACCACCGAAGGGCACAGCAGAAGACTTTCCCTCCAAACCCGCTTTTCTGAAGCTGGCGCAGAATCGTGCCTCTCCATCCACTGAGCCCCAAATGCCAGCTCCTCAGGAAGAGGGCCGTGATGGACCCCCTCCTACTGCAGCTACTGACTTCCTCCTCTCAAGCAAATCTCCTAATATCCTTGCCACGACTTGGACATTTCCCCTGCAGAAAGAAGACGGTGTGACAGCTGTTTTAAAGAAAAACGAAAAGGCAAATTTGACAGTGGCTCTCCAGACCCTTCCAAGTAAAGAGATTCTGAGTCTTCACACCGTAAATGGCTTCACCTCTGATTTTAGCACTGATCGCATTCCACCCACTGTCATTACAACACCAAGAACAAACTTTTCTCCAGAATTACCTCCACGTTCCATCCCCTCCGTACGAACCGCCCAGACTGTTGCCCCATCTCCCAGCTTTCCCAACAGCCAGCCACAGACTCACGCAGCTGCGATGGACCCTTCGGAGTTGCCAGTTTCAACTTCCAAACAGTTGGCAGCATTTCCTTCCTCCGCTGAGGTCTATGATTTCTCAACAATGGGAAACGTGAAAAAGCCAGCAGTCTCAGATGTTTCCTGGAGTTCTCTTTCAGCAGAAACTGGATCCCTTTCCACAGAACCAACGATATCTGGCTTGCTGCAGCAAACAAATTATGGTATAAATGGGCACACAATTAACTCCACAAGTTGGAAAACTCATTCAACTTCCTCTACTGCCCCCAGTGGTTTAGCTTCAGCTGTTGGAACAATAGAATCTCAGGATCTCAAAGACACTGCTGGGCATTTAGCAACTGCAGAAGGCTTTAGCATTCAGGATCCAGTCCTCGATACAAGCACCAACCAGCCCATCCAACAGTTGGATGTGACCATGGCTGGAAACCATACAGATGTCTTATCCATAATAAGTAACAGTACTCATTCCAGAGACTCCCAACCAGCTGAGGTTGAAGATTACCCATCCACAAGTCAACATGTCAAGTCTCATCTCCATCTACGACAGCCTACCCATCCAGCACATCCTGTCTTGCTAACCTCTCCAAGTCTGCCTTCCACCGCTGGCTCGCAGGAAGTGTTTTCAGATAGAATGGATACACGTTTCCAAATTCCCAGCAGCATCTCCCCATCTCCTGTGATAAATGCTTCCGCACCATTCCAGAGTGTCCTGAGATATCACTCTACTGCTGAGTCTCCTCTGTCAGCCAGAGCCTTATCCAGGGCCCCATCCAAAGTGCTTCTGCCCTTGCAGCTCCCCAAGACATGGACAGGTGCAGCCACGAATGCAGGTAGTTTGTTTCCTGGTACCCAGAAAACAGGTATGACTGCTTCTGTGGTCAAAGCATCTTCAAGCTCAACACAGATACCCAGCTTTGCTCAGGAGCAGACACCCCCTTCCACACTGATGAATGACTCAGCAGCCCCAAAGAGTCATGTCCTTAATCTTCTGACTTGGTTTTTATGAAAGTATTCAGAATTTAAGTGTCCTTATTACCAACCGTAGCTTTGCTATAACTGGCATTCCCATTATGGTTAATTGACTTAATGAGCCTAAGCTGCCTGGCCTAAATTTCAGAGCACAGAGACTTTTCACCCCAGCAAACCCATAAGTTACATCCATTCATCACCACAAGTGATGTGTGCCCAGTGGGCCAATGACAAATGTTGCTTTCTCTCTCTCTGCAGTGGACTTCACAGTGCCGTCCAAGGCAGAACCCACGGCGGCGGCGGCACCGACGTTGTTTCTGAGGAAATCAAGTCCACCGGCACTGTCTGCAGCCTTGCTCGCTAAGGGCACCGGCAGCAGCCCTTCGGCCGTGGCCTCAGGACTAGTCAAGAGCAGTTTGACCACTGCTCTAGCCAAAAACGTCACAAACAACACAGCACCTGGCCCGAAGGCGACCCCAGGCGCAGTCCACCCAGCCTTCTCCTTCACGCCAACCTACATGTTTGCGAGATCGGCACACACCATGAGCACTCACACAGCCATGCAAGTGAACACGGGCGCTGCCTCTGGCCTGCTGTCCACAACACACCTCCCCAGGAAACCACAAGCCATGCACACGAACTTCCCAAACGCCGCCAGCCCAGACATGCCCAGGGCGTCCACCACGCGCGCACTGACAATCACGGCAGCCTGGACGTCCCTCACCGCACCGGTGAGGGCGACCCGGTTGCCGCCTCTGCTGGCAGAAAACCCAAATGCTGCTCTACCTGCTGTGTCGACAGCTATGGTCACAACCGGCAAAATGGCATCCAACCTGGAGTGTCAGATGTCCAGTAAACTCCTGGTGAAGATAGGTAAGCCCTCGCTCTCCTGATTTTACTTGGAAGCAGCAAGCATGTAATGGCTTCAGAGATGCAACAGAATGACTAGATTTCTTTGCCAACAGTGGTTCTCAGTCAGGGGCAGTTTCGCTCCCCCTTCCCCCAGGGGACATTTGGCCCCATCTGGAGATGTTTTGGGGTCTTTACAATGTGAAGGGTAGGGAGGGTGCTACTAGTACCTAGTGATAGAGAGAGTAGGATGCTGCTGAACATCCTACAGTGTGCAGGATGGTTGACAACAAGGACAGTCCAGCCCACATTGTCAGTAGGGCCAGGATTGAGGACCCCTGATCTTTATCAAGTGACAGAAGAGAGGACAAGCGTTATGTGACATGACCTGGTCTTGGAATCAGTCCTGATACCAGAGGCCCCTGGGCGACCAGTTTGGCCAGGGGTCTGAGGAAGCAAATGGGTGCCCTGTTTGCCTGCAGAACGAGTCAGTGACGTTTCACATGAATGAATGAACAGTGTTAGTAAACTGTGCGGTCTTGGGAAGTGACGGAATTCAGAAAGCCTTTTCGTCGTGTATTTTCTCAATCAGCAGATACTGGGTACAGCTATGGTACACCTCATGGGAGCCTGGGATTTCTTTTGATGTTACAAAGGAGACCTTGGACGTGTTGGGTGGTGGGTGCTGTATTTGTAGCCCCTACCACCCGATTGCAGCAAAGCAGACCGGGAAGGCGCGGGGTCCTTTTAACCGTGTGGGGGTGTTTGCTATAAAAAGCATGAGTCACAGTATCTGAAAGAGCAAGCCAATGTTGAAGTCTCACATCCCGCCCTCCTCTTCACCTCACAAAGAACTAAATGAAAGTATCTCTTGAGACATATCTTATTTTAAAATAGGAAATTATGAAGTAGGCATAGCGGAAAGCACAGGATCTCTTTCTATATCTCAAGAAATTATGCCATCTGGTTTCCCACTTTCCCTCCCCCTCCCCTCCAGATCCACGCCTCCTCCCCTGAGCGGCAACCTCAGCCACCCAGATGCAGAAGTCTGGAACATTCTCCGACTCTCATCGTCACCAACACCCTGTGACCCCAGCCACACCCCATCAATCACCAGCTCCTTTCAGTTCTACCCCCAGCGTCCCCTTCCTCCCTACCACCACTGCCACGGCCCTCGTTTACTTTGGCAGGATCGCGCACCCAGATTTCTGCAACGACAGCCCCGTTTATCTCTCTGCCTCCAGAACCCCCCCGCCCACAACCTGTCCTCTAGTCTGCAGTTAAAGGAACCTTCTAAAATGTGTGCCTTTATTCAAAACCCTTCACTTCCCACTGTCCTTAGGACCAAGCGCAAACATACAACCGCAGCAGTTCACGTCTCTCCCCTGTGCCTTTGCCCGTGGTCCTCCCCCTGCTGGGAGTGGGGGCACAGGTCCTCCCAGGACTCGGGACTCAGCAGGACTCACAGCGGCATCAGTCCCAGGAAGCCTTCCTTCATCCCCACGCCCTCGCCACGGCAGGGCTGGATGCTCCTCGGAGGGCCTCCAGCAGCGTCCTGGGCCTCCCTGCAAGTAACACCTGTCCCACTTAGTCACAAATGCCAGTTTTCACCCGGGTCTTCTCTCCTGTCTCTGTCGAACTTGTGGGGTGGAGACTGCCTTCCTGATCCAGGGTTGTTCTGGGCCACAGCCCACCAGCTCAGGGCCTGCCCCCCAGGGCTCTCGGGAATGCTGTGGAGGGAATTTCCCACCAGGGGCTGGCACGGCCGAGCCCACCTGTCCAAGTCAGAAGCAGCATTGGTCTGACATGAAGTGCTACCAACATGAGAGCTGTCTCCCCACACAAATGGCTAGGGCCTTCTTTCCTCAGGACTTGAGGGGGACCAACAGAGCTCCTACCGCAGCCCCGCCCTCATTGGACCTGCGCTCACAGACTTTGCTCAGAGCTTTGGCTGGGGAGGAGAAGGGGGCTCATTTATTAGGACCTCTGATCGCCATGCTTTGGTTTTGTCCCACAGTTCTCTTTCTGATGCAAAGGAGAGTGCAGATCAGTGAAACCCTGAAGCTCAATATAGCCAAAGGGCTCACACAGGCCCTGCGGAAGGCTTTCCACCAGAACGACGTCTCGGCTCACGTAAGCCCCTTGCGTTTGTCATCAGACTAATCTGTCTACATCTTGCTCTGGGGTCCAGAGTATATTCAGATTGTTTTCCTCCTCCCTGGGTACCAGAATCGCGCTGGCCAGAAGTAGCATCTTTTCTCATTTTGGCAAATAGTTAATGAGTGGTGGTGGCTGGAGAAAAAAGGTCACATTTTGAGATGGAAAATTGAGACTAATTGCCTTATGTCCAGATTTTTTTTTTTAAGCCTGGATATACTGTTTTAAATGGTTCTATTATCCGGTCGCTTGGGAAAAGTATTTAGTGATTGTTCGTGCATTTCTCCAGAAACCATCCATTTTCTCCCTCTATCTTCCTCACCATTATAAATAGTTAATGATTTATTTCTGGACATTTAAAAATTGCTCTGACTTGTAAATTAAAATCAACTTTGCTTAAATTACCAACAGCAGACTGGGAAGTGAACACTTTTTTTCCCCTCCACACTCTTTAATGCCAAGTACTATTTAACAACTGCTAGCTGATTTCGGTGGCATAGAAACCTCGCTTTACACACTTTTGGTTTGGTTCCAAGTTTTAAAGCAGTAAATGCAATTGGCAGTCGGTGGGCAACCCTTTGCAACACTTGAAAATACTGCTCTGGCCTCTTCCTTGGACGCTTTGTTCTACAGCTGCATTCAGCTGGGTGGTCCCCTCCCCCTGACCACCACACCAAGGACCAGGAATAAGATTTGGTACATCATTTGTTGGCCATTGTCAATCTCTTTTATATAATTTTGGAAAAAAGGAAAAAAATGCATTCCACGAGAGCCATCTGTGGTTTCTGCACCACAAACTATTCGAACGTGGAAAACGTGAATGTGTCCACTGGTCGCCTGATACAGCTCTCACTCGCCTTCTGCAAGTGACCTTCATGGTTTTTGCCTTTTCTACATGTCGTCACAGACCACTGTGACACAACTAGTATGTATTTGTTTTTTGTTTTTTTTTTAATTGGCTCATTTTTAGAAACTTAAATACATTTCTTTTGAAAGGATGTTTGCTATTACCACCATAAATGGAAATCAGGATCATTGGCCACAAAAAAAAAAAAAAAAAATGGTAATCATAAAAATGAGAATAACGGAAACAGATTGTTAAATTCAAACTAGTCATTGTTGGCAGAAATATGATTTGTAAGGATTGGAGAGTATTAGAAGGAAATAACCTGCGAGCTGAGCCTTGGTTCTTGAGGTAATGAGATGAAGGGGACAGGACTCACTTCTCGCTGGTGTCCCTGCTACGTTCGCACTCCATCCAGAAGTTTCTCATTCCACCTAAAGCCACCTTTTAAAACATTTACTTTTCAATGACAGTTTACATTCAGTGTCATTTTGTATTCGTTTCAAGTGTACAGCATAGTGGTTAGACAATAGTATACTTTACGAAGTGATCCCCTAGATGTTTCCAGTGCCCAGCTGGGGCTATACATAGTTGTTACAATATCATTGACTATATGTCCTATGCTGTGCTTTATATTCCCATGACTACTTTGTAACTACCGATTTGTATTTCTGAATCCCATCAACTCGTTCACCCAGCGCCCAACCCCTCCCCGCTGGCAACCATCAGTCACCTAAAGCCATCTTGAACAACACCTTTGGAAACAGTATGGAGGAACCAAAGGCACACCCAGCCTGTTGCAAAACCTGTTGGTTTCTTTGGCAAATATGCATGACACTACTAATGGAGATACAAGAGTAAGGGGTGGGGGGGGGGAGGTTGTTACACCCTGACTTATTAATATAAAACACTGAGAAAACAAACAAACAAAAAGAATCAAGTCTAAAACCTCAAATCTTCCAATTGGGTCAAAAAGAGTTTAGATGATCAGGATCCCTTAGGACGCAGCTGTCAGAGAAACTCTCCATGGCCCACCCCACCTTGGCCTTGAACCAACTTTCAAGTCAAGAAGGGTGCTGAGTTTGACCAATTCTTCTCTTCGCTTATAGAAAGAGGAGTCACCTCATATACTGTTTGACCTCTGTCCTGAATGTTCCCCCACTTAATCTAAAATTTCTGCTTTTTAATTTTCAGAAGTGATGAGAAATATAATAAAGCTATTTTTTTAAAGCAATCTGTTCCCTGGAAATCTCTTTTGACTGCCATTTTGCATGATAATTGGTGTTCACAGGATTCTACTGAGGCACTTAAGGAATAAAAAAAACACAGATTTAATTCTATTCCATGTAGGTTCAATATAAATTATACTTTGTTGTATTCTGTTATTTTGAGACTTGCCAAACTATGTATGCTTTATAGGATTGTTAAGAATATTTGTTGAAGGAGAACATTCTATTCCCCAGCCATGCTAAATATTAGTTATGGTCCTAGGAGACATCAAGAACTTAAAGTACTATAGAAACAAATACTGAGTTCTGTGGGTCCATTTGTTTTGTAGGTGGACATTCTGGAACATTCTCACAATGTCACAGTTGGTTATTATGCTACCAAAGGGAGGCTGGTGTACTTGCCTGCTGTAGTGATCGAAATGCTGGGTGTTTATGGGGTCAGCAACGTCACTGCAGATCTGAAGCAGCATACCCCAAACTTGCAGTCTGTGGCAGTACTCGCCTCCCCGTGGAACCCCCAGCCTGCAGGCTACTTCCAGCTCAAAACAGGCAAGTAACTCAGAAGGAAAGGATTTCTGCATGTTGTGGAATCAGGGGCAGAACCAAGAAGACACCTCTTTAAAAACTCCATTGCTAACTGCTCTGTGTCATCTCTCTTTTTTTTAAATCCTCACCCGAGGACATTTTTGCATTTATTTTCAGATAAAGCAGGAGGGAGAGAGAGAGAGAAACATCCATGTGAGAGAGACACATCGATTAGTTGCCACCCACAAGACCCCAACAGGGGCCAGGGACGAACTACAACTGAGGTACATGCCCTTAGCAGGAACTGAACCTGAGACTCTCTGGTCTGTAGGCCGACACTCTAACCACTGAGCCAAACTGGCCAGGGCTGCTCTGTCATCTCTTAAAGTCCCTGTGTTTTCCTTCCTCAAGGGGCCCTCCTAATCAAATGTCTAAGTGCCCTGCACATCAACCTTAATTTTTCCTGGATGCATTAGAAATATTTCTTGCCTGGCTGGTGTGGCTCAGTGGATTGAGCACCGTCCCATGGACTGGGAGGTCCCGGTTTGATTCCTGGTCGGGGCACATGCCTGGGTTGTGAACCTGATCCCCAGTAGAGGGTGTGCTGGAGGCACCCAATCAATGTTTGTCTCTCTCATCAATGTTTCTCTCTCTCTCTAAAAAAATCAATAAAAACATGTATATAAAAAAAAGAAATACTTTTTCATAGGACCCTTTCTTCCCTATGTATATAATTAGTACTTACGTGCACCAAATACTATATTTTTTATTTTTTTCTTTATTATGGATACTGATAATAGTCAAGCACCCATAAAAATCTGTGCTTCGAAACAACACGTTCCAGTTGCCACTGAATTAGAATCTCTGAGCTTAGACCTTGGAATCATTCTTTCAAGTTCCCTGCTGGTTCCAAACCACAGGCATGGAGAAGCCATTAAAATTGAAAGACTCAATCAACTTAGTAATGCCGGTCAATTGCTTATTTATTCCCCTCCAAAGAATCAGATGGCATGATCTCTCTCATGTTATTTTCTAGCAGTCTTGGAGCAGATAGATATCTATGTATTCCAATCAAATGAAATCACAAAATCCTTTGCATTAGAGGCAATCACACTTTTAATTCTAGGTTATAAATAATTTTAAGAGCCACTTCCAGAACTATAGCCAAACCTTGTCTCTCTTACTTACCTAATTACTCTGATGTAAAAATTGTGTGTGTTTTTTTAATGCTCCCCCCAGGATATTTTTCCATTTATCTTCAGATAGAGTGGGAGGGGGAGAGAGAGAGAGACATCAATGTGAGAGAGACACATCGATTGGTTGCCTCCTGCATGACCCTAACCAGGGCCGGGGACCGAGCCACAACTGAGGTACATGCCCTTGACTGGAATCAAACCCGAGACTCTGGTTTGTGGGCCGATTATCTAACTACTGAGCTAAACCGGCCAGGGCAAAATTGTGGTTTTATATTATGACTGCTATCAAGTCCAAGGAACAAAGACACAGCATTTGAGTGAGTGCTGATTTATTACTCTCATTCTAGTGCTTCAGTTTGTGAGCCAGTCTGACAACATCCAGTCCTGCAGGTTTGCTCAGACAATGGAACAGAGGCTGCAGAAGGCCTTCCAGGATGCCGAGAAGAAGGTTCTGAATACCCAAAGCAACCTGACGATTCAGGTAAGGAGGGGACTCTTGAGCTGTGTAGTTGACAGAGGCCAATCATAATGCAGATGTTGACAAGAGGTGACTTGGTCCCCCATTTCAAAGCTTTTTTGGGTAAATGCTACTTTGTACTTTGAGTGTGTGATGTAGGCAGGAGACAGTGCCTCTCTGGGGCCACTGAGGGGGGTCAGTCCTGGCACTGGTGAGGGTGTCTGGGGATGGATGCTGTGTTGCTGTCTCCCTGCTGTGGTTTGGGGTTTTAGATTTCTTTTCCCATGTGAAGATTTCTCAGGCCTTTCCAATACTTTTTTTTTTTTAATGAACTAGAATATACTATATTTGATATGTCAGATATCTTATGTAAAATGAATCATTTTTAAATAGCTAATTTACTAAGATTTGTCTATTCTGTGATTTTCATTGAGGTATTTTACAAATATCCACATGACTAGTCATCTTACTTTACACACACACACACACACACACACACACACACACACTCACATTTAGGGCTTCCTATGTGCCAGGACTGTGCTAAGTGCTTCATGAATGTTTTGCTACACAATACTTAAGACAACCTTCTGAAGTATTATTATCACCATTTCACAGAAGAGGAACTGAGAGAGAGGACAGAAACTTCCAGAAGGTCACACAGTTGGTAAAAAAGTGGAACAAAGACTTGAGCCGAACTCACACTCTCATCCACCATGCCACACTAGCATCAATGCAGTGCAGAAACGGGATCCTTGGTGAAACTTTTGGCAGCCACATAAATTATTTCCCAGAAGAATCCCACTCCTGGTGAACTGTATTTCAATTTCTGGAATTTATAGTTGACATACCATCTAAAACCTTTCTCACACCCATGTTTTTTTGCAATGGTGTAGACACCATCCCACTAAAGACAGATGCTTCTTAATGATATGTATCCAGCCCCCAAATTTCTGACTTAACTGTACTGGCCAATGTCTCTGTTTTTACTGAACTAAAAGCCTTTGCAATGAAACCCAGTGGTTTTGAAATCGACATTTAGCAGAAGTGAATTATCAGCAAAGCCAATATGGTGCAGAAAACATACAATTTAATTTGAATGAGAAGCTTTCCTTTTCTAGATTCATCCCAAGTAGAACTATCTCATTCTGATTTGGTTCATGTTAGACTAAAGTCTAAAAACGTGTCACAGATGTAAGATTTACGTAAGGACTATGACTCAGCTCCTTTGTGGGAGATCTTGATTGGACCGGGATCTTCACAGGTAGTCTGGTTAGAGCTGGAATATGCTCTGACTGTTTCAGAAGCACAGGCTTATTGAGCACCTGCTATTCATCAGGCACGGGAAGGGACACCAAGATAAAAAAGCTGCCCTTGACCTTAGTAAGAAACCTTCCTTGGAAAACACGACAGCAGGCGATTTGAAAATTGTATCTAAATAGATTTTTGATGCTCTTGAATATGTCAAGGCTCTTGAAATGAATGTATAATTGGGTGAATTGTTTTATTAACCTCATTTCTCTTTTTGCTTTGGCTGACAGGAAGCCCAGAGACAAAGCTGTTGCCTGGGTTTAGTAATCCTGTAAGCCCCTGTCTCTACGCATAGATAGCTATATGATAGCCATTCCCTTGGGGCTGCCTTTAATCTTTTATTCAGGACCTGGTTTTGTAATTATAACTTTCCATTTTATTGTATTAAATATCTTTTGTAGAGCACCTTGGGTCCTCTGTGGAATAAGATCACATAAATATTTAATTAATTTGTTTAGAGAATCATTGAAAAAGTGACTTAGAATTTTTTATTTATTTATTTTTACTTGTATAGCATTGATCTTAAAGGCTAGATGACAGTAGACTCAATTGGGACTTTTTGGTACAAATGACATCCAAGCTCATGGGCTTAAGCAAAAAGAGGAAGTGGTTGGTTCATGTGACTGGAAGAAAGTTTATTTGTTTCAGGCACAATTGGGTCCAGGAGCTCAACGATTTCTTCATGCAGTTCTCTCTTCATTTCTTGCCTTGCTCTGGGCTGGTATCCTCCTCAGGCCCTGTGGGGTGGTCCCTGGCACCTCCAGGTTTACCTCATCCTTATGGCTCCCAGTCTCGTGGAACCAAAGTGCCTTTTTCTGTCATTTCAGTAAAAATCCTGGGATTAGCTCTCATTGAACCCACTTGGATCCTGTACCTATTTCTGGACCAGTAACTGTGGCCAAGGAGATGAAATGTCCCCATCAATTAGGCCTGGCTCAGATGCCTCCTCCTGGAGCTTGGGTGGGGCAGCCCCACCCAAAGCACATAAACCGATGGGAGAGAAGAGGTATTTCTCCAAGAAAAATTGTGATGCGGGGTAGAAGGGACAATGGGTGCTGGATAGGCAAAAATAACAGCCTTCCACTTGGTCAGCCTTGTAGGACTAATTAGCTAAATGAATGATGTCATGAGTGAGTGGGAAGTAAGGGATTAGGTCAGAAGCCACAGGGCCTAAGAATAAAGAAGTGATGGGGGACATGGCATGGCATTCAGGGAACAATGATAGGACCTGGTATCAGGGCTGTGGACCTCTTCTTATTTATGAAGCTAGTGTTAAGCAGCCACCAACAATGCTCACACTTTCCTTAACTTAAAAATAAAAAGACTATGTTAAAGAAGACACATATAAGTGGAAAAACATTCTGTGTTCATGAATTGGAAGACTTAATGTTGTTAAGATGTCAAAACTACCAAGAACGATCTAGATTCAATGCTATCCCTGTCAAAATCCCAGTGACTTTTTTTGTGTGGAAATCCTAAAATTCATATGGAATCTCAAGGGACTCTGAAGAACCAAAACAATCTTAAAAAGTTGGAGGTCTCCCACTTCCTCATTTCAAAACTTACTAAAAAGCTATGATAATAAAGACAGTGTGGAACTGGCATAAATATATAAACCAATGCAACAGAGAGCTCAAAAACAAGTTGTTGCATATATAGTCAAATGATTTTTTAAAAATTGATTTTAGAGAGAGAGGAAAGGAGAGGGAGAGAGAGATAGAAACATGGATGAGAGAGAACATTGATTGGCCACCTCCTGCACGCCCCCGACTAGGGATCTGGCCCACAATCTGGGCATGTGCCCTGACCGGGAATCGAACCAGTGACCTCTTGGTGCACAGGTCGATGCTCAACCACTGAGCCACACTGGCTGGGCATGGTCAAATGGTTTTTGACAAGGATGCTAAGACAATGGGAAAAGGGCAGTCTTTTCAACCAATGGTACTGAGAAAACTGGACATTCATAAACAAAAGAATGAAGTGGACCCTTACTTAACACCATATACATATATTAACTCAATGTGGATCAAAGACCTAAATGTAAGAGTTAAACTATTAATCTTAGAAGAACATAGAGGAGAAAAACTTCATGACATTGGATTTGACAATGATTTGTTGGGTATGACACCAAAAACACAGGCAACAAAAGAAAAAATAGATAAATCGGTCTCCATCAAAATTAAAAACTTTTGTGGACCAAAGGACACAGTTATAAGGCAACCCACAGAATGGGAGAAAATATTTGCAAATCAAACAGTATATAACAAGGGGTTACTATCTAGACTACATAAAGAACTCCTACAACTCAACAACCAAAATAAAACAACCCAATTAAGAAATGGGCAAAGGACTTGAACAGACATCTCTCTGAAGAGGATAGCAGATGCCCAGTAGGCAGTGAAAGGGTACTTCACATGACTAATCGCTAGGGAAATGCAAATCAAAACCACAGTGACATACCACTTCACACCTATTAGGAAGCTGTTATTTAAAAAATAGAATATAACAAGTGTTGGTAAGGATGTGGAGGAATTGGAACCCTTGTGCACACTGCTGGTGGGCATGTCAAACAGTACAGCTACTGTAGAAAGCTGGCCGTTCCCTAAAAAAAGTAAACATAGAATTACTGGGTATATAACCAATAGAACTAAGCAGTTGGATAGATATTTGTACACCCATGTTCATGGTAGCATTATTCACAACAGCCAAAAGGTAGAAGCAACCCAGGTGTCCATCCACAGATGAATGAACAAATAAATGATGTATGTAGATACTGTAGAATGCTATTCATCCTAAAAATGGAGCTTAATTCTTTTTTATTTTATTTTTTTATCCTCACCCGAGGACACTTTTCCATTTTTTGTTCAGGTAGAGTGGGAGGGAGAGAGAGGAACAGAGAGAGAGAGAGAAACATCGACGTGAAAGGAACACATCGAGTGGCTGCCACCCACACGACCGACCAGGGCCGGGGACAAACTGCAACTGAGGTACGTGCCCTTAGCGGGAACTGAACCCGGGTCTCTCCGGACCACAGGCCGACACTCTAACTGCTGAGCCAAACCGGCCAGGGCTGGAGCTTAATTCTGACACGGGCTACAATATGGATGAGGCTTGAGGACATTATGCTAAGTGAAATAAGCCAGACCCCAAAGGACAAATGGTGTATGATCCCATTTATAAAAGGTATTTAGTTTGTCAAATTAATAAAGACAAAGTAGAATGGTGGCTAATAGGGACTGGGACAGGGTTTCATTTTGGGATGATGAATAAGTTCTGGAGATGGATAGTGGTGATAGTTGTGCAATAATGCGAATGTACTTAAAGCCATGGAACTGTACACTTAAAATGGGTAAAATGGTAAAATTGTACTTCACCACAATAAAAATGTATGAAACTGATATAATATAATATGTTAATTATACTTCAATAATTATACTTCAATAAAAATATTCTTAGCTTTAAAAAGTATCATTACCTGGTCAAGCGCAGTATGCACAGGGGCCAGGCTCTTTGGGACCCAGTGAAATGTAGTTTTGTTGAAAAGCAGAACATAGAATGTCACAATGGAGATAAAGATTGGAGATAAAGGCTGCAAAGTTATTTTAGTTACTGCTTTTATAGGTGACAGTACAGTGAGGTCTTTAGAATTGTTCAGAGAGAAGTGCCTTTCTGTTTGGTAACTGGAGAAAGATGTGAATACCTGTGGCTAAACCACATTCCAAAAATACTTGCAGAGAGGAGAGGAAAAGTTGACCAGAAATGTCGATTCACTATGTCATGAATCATGGGACTATATTATATACTCTGGGACAGAATTTAAAAGGAAAGTCCATGTATGGGGAAAAGTGGGAAATAACATGAACAAGCTATTTTTGACAGTCTTCTTCAAAGTAAGGTTTAAAAGGAAAATTGCCCGCATATGTATGTCTGGGCACACAGAAGTCTGGGAAGGATATCAGTCAGCTCCTGGCAGGAAGACAGGGTACACTCAAATGAAGGCAATTTAAGGAGAATCTAATAAAAGAGATCCTTTGCAGAAGGCTGGGCAGGCACTCGGGGAAACCACAGAGACAGTCAGTACCCAAAACTGCACAGATTGGGACTAAGGGGCGGGGGAGGGGACAGTTACAAGAAGTCCTTGGCCAGAGCTGCCCAGCGGGAGCTTTTACCCCACAGGGAGGGAGTCCCCAACACCAATGCACTGACCTCGCTCCCCGTCTCCCCATCCCCTCCTGATCTCCCTTTAGCCGAAGCCAAGGGGCCAAGGAGCCCACTGAGGTGTTCCACAAGGCTCTGCCTCTGGGGTGCTGAGCAGAATGAGGGGTGGCAAGTGGATCTGGAGAAAGAAGGAGCAGACAAAGACTGTCTCACCAAGTGGAATGACTTCCTACTGCATCTGCTTTTCAAATCTCATCTGTGGGATATTTTTTTGTTCATACATGGACCCAGAACACTTCATTTTCCAGTAACGAAAAAACTGACTTAGACAAAATGCGAAAGGAAATCCACACCATCTCATATTCATATTTACATGGTCTATATTGAATTCATAGACCACAAGGAAATGCATTCACTCTCTAGAGAAGCTATTTGACGTTTCTGAATAATCGGGTTCAGTCACTCTCTTTGTTGCTAGGTTGGCATACACTCCCTGTCCTTTCTTCTTTAAAATTCCCCCCACAATGACTCAAGCTTTCCCTGCCTGAGCACGTGAGTCCTCCTTACATTGAACATTCCTGTGCTCTACTTTGTATTGTCAGAACTGTAAAAGTAATCTGAGACAATGTAGCCCCTGGCCAAGATACACACCAGTGGTTAAAACCTGAAGTCAGACGGCCTGGCTCTGTCACTTCTTAGCTATGTGACCTTGGGCAAGCCCCCTGATCATTCTGGGCCCCGGTTTCCTCCTCTGTAAAAGTGAGTCATCCTTATATACACCTCCTAGGGTTGGGGTGAGGATTAAATGAGATAACGTACCCTCGGCACGATGCCTGGCACGGAGCAAGCAATCTGTGAGTGATGACCGTTCTTATTCTTGTCTCTTCCTCGTTCTTTCCCCACCTCCCTTTCATTCCTACCCTCGACTTCTGCTGAAACTTCTTCTCCCACGGCCCCCATGAAACAGACCCTCATCTTATTTGGCATGTCTCCCTCCCCTTTCCTCCTGTGTCGATTCAGATTGTGAGCACGTCCAACGCCTCCCAGACTGTCACCTTGGTGTACGTGGTGGGCAATCGGAACTCATTCCTCAATGGCACCGTCGCCAGCAGCCTCCTCCGCCAGCTCTCGGCCGAGCTGGTGGGGTTCTACCTCACCTACCCGCCGCTCACCATCGCTGAACGTGAGTATGGCCACGTCATACTGATACTCTGCCGATGCCCCCGGGGCCTTTCTCCATGCTGCAAACGTCCACTGTGCCGGGCTGCATACTAACTCCTTTGTCATAAGACAACTAGAATATGTGATACATGGGGATTGAATTGGTGACAAGTTTATTGCACATTGAAAAAAAGCACTCGCTGGGTGCCTTTTACTCTTCACCTATCTCGTTCGTATCTCATTTAATCCTTACAACGACCCTATGAGGTAGGTGCAACATTAGACAAGAAAATTGAAGTTGATTAAGTTTAATAAAATGTCCAAGCTCACACAGCTAGTAAGACGTGGGATTTGAACCCAAGCAGTCTGCCTCTGAGCTGATAATCCTGTCTGGTAGGGCACCTGTCCTCATGGCAGTATGGAGCTGTGGTTTCCCCCGTCTGCCATCAGCAAATGTCCTGGGGCCCTCAGCCCTTGCCCTGGCTGTAGGTATCAGTGCAGCTCATTTGCAGTCAGCATCGTGACTTCACTTCCCCACAGTTCTTTGGCCTTGTCTTCCTCTAATCTGTGGTTCTCAACCTTCCTAATCAGTGATTCTCAACCTTCCTAATGCCACAACTTTTTATTTTTATTTATTTTTTTAATTTTTATTTCTTTATCCTCACTCGAGGACATTCTTCCATTTTTTGTTCAGACAAGGTGGGAGGGAGAGAGAGGAAGAGAGAGAGAAACATCGACGTGAAAGGGACACATCGAGTGGCTGCCACCCACACAACCAACCAGGGCCGGGGACAAACTGCAACTGAGGTACACACCCTTAGTGGGAACTGAACCCGGGTGTCTCTGGACCTCGGGCCAACACTCTAACCACTGAGCAAAACCTGCCAGGGCAATGCTGTGACTTTTTAATACAGTTCCTCATGTTGTGGTGACCCCCAACCATAAAATTATTTTCGTTGCTACTTCATAACTGTAATTTTGCTACTGTTATGTCTTAGGCGACCCCTGTGGAAGGGTCTTTCGACCCCCAAAGGGGTCACAACCCACAGGTTGAGAACCGCTGCTAATGCCTCAGTTATTTAATCTTCATTACTATACAGCAGGTCTAGGCTTGGAAGATGACACAGTCTAGCATTTTGTCCCCAAACACTCACTTCGTAGCAAAAGGAAGTAAAGATTTGGGCTTTTAAATTTAATTGTTGGTACATTTCTCAAGGTCAATGGGCAAGTTTTTTATAAAACACATATTAACAACATTCTTTTTATTTCCTTCTGTGCTTGCTTTTGATATTGTAAATAAATGAGTTGATGTGTGTGGTGCTTTAGCACAGGGTAGCCATTCAGAATTTTTCTGAATGTTTGTTTAATAGCAAGCTATTGCAAATTTCCATACAGGAAGGAAAGATAACTGGATTTTATGCAGAAGATGCTGTCATAAAAGAAGGCACCATGTCACATGGCAGCATGTGAAGTATTTATTTTCTTTCATTTCGATAGTTTGATATAACAACAGCTGTGATTTAGTGAGCACTTACTGGGTGCTGGGACATGCTAAGCCCTTTGCATATTAACTCTGATGGTCACTACACCTGAAAAAAAAATGTTGGTTGCAATATTTGGCTACTATACTTAGTCCTTGACATTGGAAAAACCCATTCAAGAGATAATTATTCCTAAAAATGGGAGTGACAGTTGGGCATTTTAAAGAGAAAGCTACAGTTAAGACAGGTTCTAGCTGTGGGTCTTGATAAGGATGTTTCACTTATGAGGCCTTGATGGAAAAACTGAAAGAGCAGAAATCCACAAACCCTAGAAAACTCACTTTCATCTGAGAGTGAGCTCTTCATTGAGTATTTCAGTTTATTGAACAGCAAGGTAGTTTTTGTCCTGGATGCCACAGACTTCCTAAGAATGACAAAGCAGGTTTCAGCTGCTTTATATTTTGTCCCTGTGTCCATTTCCCGTAACAATATTTACATATAAACCTCATGAAAGTAATTTGGTGCATTTCTTACTTGTTTTAGCACTGGAATATCCCAACCTTGACATATCGGAGACAACCAGAGACTACTGGGTAATTACAGGTAATCTCTTACTTTATTTCCCCTTTCACCCTCTCGGGTTGGTTTGTTATTTTCAAATTGCATGTCAGAAGGAGAAAAAAAAAAATTAAACCTGCATGTCACTCAGCGATAGGATTGGCATCCTTTATTTGGTCCTGTCCTATAATTCAAGGAGTTACTTTCACAGGACCAGGAGTGGGTGGTGTAAGCTGAAACAAACAAACAAACAAACAAACAAACAAACAAAAAACCCTACCCATCACACTGGAGATGAAAGTTAGATAACCAATTCAAAATAGCAAGCTGAAGAGCCCACCTAGTGGCTTCCTCTTTGCAGAAAGTGGACCCATCCGAAGGTCCAGCATTTACCTGTGGACACCCAGGGTGTGTCCATGGGAATAACTGTCTGTTTCAAGAGAGTCGGCTTTTCTGCACTGCCCTACAGAATGCCAGTGAACGTCAGAGGAATGCCAGGCACGCACTTTCCTCTCGCCCGGCACGAGGCCCACACCCACACTAGTCCTGGTGGAGCCCAGGCGCGTCCTGACAGGGAGGGCGGATGGAAGTAAAAGGGTGTTTGGGTGGCATTTTCTTTTTTTTTTTTCTCCTTTGACATTTCCCAGCTGAGCTTTATGAAACAGCAGCAGTTCTTGTTTTTCAAAAGCCAGGCAGTACCTCTGAAAATCAGAGAAGCAAGGATTGGAAGCAAAGAGAGAAGACAGATGTTTGAAGGAAGAAAAGTGACCAGGTCAGCTGTAGGAAGGGACAGGACAGGGAGCGAATCAGTCTGCTAGGGCAACACAGAAAGTAGCAAAGACTAGGGCCGGGGCTTCAGCAGCCTGGAAGCTGGGTATGGTATGAAGGGGTCAGCAGGGCTGGTTCTCCTGAGGCCTCTCTCCTTGGCTGACAGATGGCCACCTTTCCTCTCTGTCCTCAGGCGGTCTTCCTCTGTGTATGCCTATGTCCTCATTTCCTCTTCTTATAAGGACACAGTCATATTGGATGAGGGTCCACTTATATGATCTCATTTTACCTCATTTACCTCTTTAAAGGCCCTGTCTCCAAATACATTCCCCTTCTGAGGGACTGGGGGTTAGGACCCTGACATCTGAATTTTGGGAGGACACGGTTCAGCACATAACGAGGAGTGAGGAAGATCCTGTAAGTCACGGAAGAGGAGCCTGGGCAAGCAGGGCCATCCAAAAGCCTCTTCCTCCTCCCTCCCTCCCTGCCTCCTGTCTCCTCCCTCCCATGCTCTGCGGGCCAGGGGGCCTCTGCCCACCCACTGACACAAGCACACCCTGCTGGATGAGGCCTGCCCAAGCCCCCACCTAAACGTCAAAAGTGTTTAAAAAGAAAAAAACCTCACCAGAGTTTATGCCCAAGGGAAAGACAGTGCTAACCCAGCAACACGTTTTCGGAGCCAGTAGGTTACGTAACTTGCAAAAGCATGTTCTCTCTCCACCAGGAATGCTGCAGGCCCCCCTCCTGTTAGCTTTGAGGTTTACATGGAGTGGTGACACGTCTACTCTCACACACGGGATGTCCTAGTCAGCCTCCTGTTTCCGCCCGTCCTCATGCGCCTGTGTCTTGCCCTGCCTCTACTGTAGTGACATAACCTTAATAGAGAACCCCACACATGGCCTTGTTTTGAGGATTCTCCTGGGGCTTAACCCCTGTCCCCTCACCTATGTAACCCTCATTGGTTATTGCTGCTGTGGCTGTTGGGGATCAGATGGAACAGTGGTCTCCATCACTGCATTTGGGGCTGGTCGGGTCAGTTAGTGCTTCTGGGGACTGAAACCAGCCTCAGGATGACCCTCTTCCTTCTCACGACCACTTTCTAACCCCATGGGCAGCCACCAGCAACCTTGGACCATCAGTTACAGAAGGGGTGGGAGGTCGGGAGCTGAGAGATGAAGAGAGCTTTGTTCTTCCTGTTCAAACCCTGGCCCCTTGAACAACCAGCCACTCTGCCTTCTCCTCCCAGCCATCCATCACGGGCACCCCTTCGACTGCCCACCAGTAACTTGGAGCAACTTTCCTTTGTTTAGTTTGTGGTATAAAACCCTGCCATGTTTTCATCTGTATGCCCACTGAACTTATATTAAATATGTTTTTACACATGGTACACTTCTCCCCTCCCTGGGCGTGGGTCCCTCTTTGGTGGCAAGTCAGTCTGTCTGCACAGAGAGCCCAGGAGCTACCCTGCTGTCCATGCGTCTGCAACCAGGCAGGACAGAGATGTAGTCTCAATATTGCTGCCTGCCAGAGGTGAGAGCCCAGCGGAGGTTTGGAATCTGTCTTTATTTTACTCACCAGTCAAAATACTCCAGACCCTGCAATTGCCGGATTTCTTCTGGCCTCAGCTCTGCTACATATGAGCCATGTATGCCCTTAAGCCAGTCACTCAGACCCTGTGGGTGTTACACTCTCACCCTTAGAATCAGGAGGAGACAGGAGCTGAACATTCAGGCTCTTTTGGCTCAGAGTGTGTGGGATTCAACCATGAATAAAACAGTTTAGACTGGATACGGGAAGCTGAACCAGGTCTGATCAGTGGAACTTTTAGGGCCCAGTGCAATTGTAAATAAAGAAAGAATAAGAGACCAGCAATGTAACAATCACCAAATCTTCTGGACAAAGCTCCTTTGAGCATAGCTGGAGACTTGCCCGCCTCCTCTCAGCTGAGTCAGTGATGGCTGAGGGTGGGTGGCCAGGGTCCAAGCTCCCCTCCTGCTCTGTGCTGCTGGGAGAGGTGTGGGTGCACGCCCCTCTCTACTCCCTTCCAGGCCAGGGAGAGGGGGGAGCCTGGGGCCTGGCACACTTCTCAGGGGAGGAGAAGAGCACAGCCCTGGAACACTGTTCTGTAATATGTTGTTTCTTCCTCTGATAAGGATGTGTTCAGCAAAGAAGGGGGCACACTTGAACAACAACAAAGCTACCAATTATGGGCATCCTCTCGAGTGCCTGATAGCACGGTGCTGGAAGCATTTGAAAAACAACAACAAAGTAGCTGTTTTTCACAGCAACACAATCAAGATTAGAGTGTGATCCCCCTGTTTCAGACAAGGAACCAGGGCCCACCAAACTGAGCGACTTGCCCAAGAACACTCTGTAAGGGGAAGTCAGGGTTCAAATACAGGCCCCAGTAAGGGGAAGTCAGAGTTCAAATCCAGGCCCCTGGCTCCAACCCCCAGCCCTTCTCCCGCTGCCTCCTACGGACACATTATCTTCGCTAACAGAGCAATGAGGCGTGTGGGAACTGTCCAGGTGCTGATTCCATGTAACTGTGGGAGGTTTCCACAGCCTCCTACACTTCCCTGGAGGTTTGTTGGCTTTTTCCCTCAATTTTCGAAATTGTGATAAAATACACATAACATGAAATTGAACATTTGAACCATTTTGAAGTGTCTAATTCAGTGGCATTAAATACAAGCCCAGTGTTGTACCCTGCTATGTACTTCTGGAACTTTTTCATCGCCCGGGGGGCTTTGACTATCCTTTTCTTTGATGCCTGCCCTTGTGCCATCACTGGGATTCCCATAAAGCAATCAGTCCATGATGAAGCCCCTCGGTGTCCTGGGTCCCCTCTATTACTCTGTCCATTGGTCAGGAGAGGCCGACTTAGAAGAAATCCTTCCGCAGTTGATGGTGGAATTTTACTAGAGGGGCATCTCTGAATGAGCAAGAACACAGACTCTCCTGTCTGGGCCAGGAGGTAGGCTGTGTCAGGGGGGTTCCGAGGGGCCTCTGTGGGACCTGCTGCACTGGGGACAGTACAGGGGTGTTTTCTCTTTGTTGGCAGGAATTGTGCTGGCCGCTGAGCTGGGAGTCGCTCACAAAGGCCCCAGAAAGAGAGCTGATTGATAGCCTCCGCGAGGATTATTTGGCACTTATGACCTCAAAGAAGTAATTTCTGAGGCTCAGCTGTGGGTTTTACTTCTCTTTCGATCAGTTTAAACATCACTCTCTGGATCTTGTTGAGAATTGTTGCTTGTTTTGGCCCTGAGTAGAATGTGATCACAACAATGACACGTTCTTTTTTTTTTTTTTTTTAACCCTCACCCGAGGACATTTTTCCATTTTTTTGTTCAGATAGGGTGGGAGGGAGAGAGAGGGAGAGAGAAACATAGACGTGAAAGGGACACATCGAGTGGCTGCCACCCACACGACCAACCAGGGCCGGGGACAAACTGCAACCGAGGTACATGCCCTTAGCGGGAACCGAACCCGGGTCCCTCCGGACCACAGGCCGACGCTCTAACCGCTGAGCCAAACCGGCCAGGGCACGACACGTTCTTTATACCCAAACTACTTTCATATCCCAGTAGATGGCTGGTATTAGTGGTCTTTAACTGGATTGTGGCAGAACAAACTCCCCAGCCCATGTATGTCTTGGTTTCTTTAAGATGAGAATTGTTTTTAGCATTTTAAATAGCAGGAATGGCTGTGTTTGAAGGCAGTGTTTGTGTGTTTGGGATGAAGTGTGCTTCCCAAGGGACTTGGAGGAAAGACTAGATTTTGGGGGTTGACAGCAAAAGGCAGCCACCCCCCGCCATAGAAAGTGACCACTGCAGTCCTAGGCCTGGTGTTCATTAAACCCCCTCCACACACTCGCCACTGCCCGGAATTCCAGCACTGACGCCTTGCCTGTGGATGACAGACACCTGGGAGGACAGGGGCGATGGAGTTCCATGTGCCTTCCATGCCCTGGGCACTGTGCCAAGCTCCTTTACACACCTTGTGTCATTTCAACCACAGACCTCATTAGGAATCTATTTCCTGTGATGTGAACTTACTCCCTTTTTAAAAAAATTTTTTCCTTTATTGATTTTAGAGAGAGAGGAGATAAGAGGGAGAGAGAACTAGAAACATCGATGAGAGAGAACATCGATTGGCCGCCTCCGGCATGCCCCCCACTGGGGATCGGGCCCACGACCTGGGCATGTGTCCTGACCGGGAATTGAACCGGTGACCTCCTGGTGCATGGGTCAACACTCAACCACTGAGCCACACCGGCCAGACAAACTTATTCCCTTTTTACAGGGAAGGACTTGGACTCAGACACAGCCAGTGGTTTGCCGGAAGTGTCACAGCTGGCAGGAGCTCACTCTTCCTAACACGCTGTCGGGCTCTCAAATGGAAGAGTACCCCAGAGGCCCTGGGCAGCTTGGGGTGGCTCCCTCGAGGACCACAGAGGAGGGGGGATGTGAACAGGGTGGTCTGCCAAGGTGTATGGTGCTGAGTTGCAGGATGGAATTTAGATTCCACAGCAAAGCTGTTGAGAAGGGAAAATAAAATAAGGGTAGCCCTGAGCCGGAGCTTCTGACTGGGAACCCGCAGAACATCCAGTTAGCCATACCTGTATTTCGGCTGTATTCCCACATGGACTCTAACTGCACGTAATCTTCAGTGAGGTTTGGATTTAGTAAACAGTATTAGACGTGGCACGGCTCATGGAGGAGAGAGCCCAGGCTTTGGGTTTGAACGCTCACTTTCCTCGGTACTAGCTGTGACCTTGACAAGTCACTTATCCTTGAGTGATTCCTAATTCCTGGGGCTGTTGTGACAGTAAAGCAAGGTAAGGATGGCTGAGCCCTCCCATGAGGTAGGGCCCATGGCACCTCGTGGCTGGGGCAGGGAGGGTGGTGGTTGTGGTTGTGAGTCGGCAGGGAGTCTGTCCTGAGCAGCCCGTCTGCCTTCTGCATCGCAGTGCTGCAGGGCGTGGACAATTCGCTGGTGGGTCTGCACAACCAGAGCTTCGCCCGGGTCATGGAGCAGCGCCTGGCCCAGCTGTTCATGATGTCCCAGCAACAAGGCCGGCGCTTCAAACGGGCCACCACCCTGGGAAGCTACACCGTACAGGTGGGTGTGCGCGAAGCCCCTGGGGTCTCCTCGTTCCCGGGGGGAACTTGCTGCGTGAGATTCATGCTGTGTGCAGAAGAGCTGCAGCTCCGCAGACCGACCAAGCCGTTTGCTCTTGGGGTTCGGGGTCAGGGTCATAACATCAAAATCGTGAAGAAGGATGACAGCTAGCTACTCCCCCGACAGTCGCACTACTGGATGACAAGAACACATTCTGCACGCATGCAGGTGGTTATTCAGTGAAGTTATACGTGAGCAGGCTCAGGCTGCTCACCGACCTGTGCTGTGGGCTGGATGAAGGCCCAGCTCCCGGCGCTTCCAGGCCCCTCAGCGCCATCTCTGGAACAGAGGCACCAGCCGGGATTCCAGGGCCAGGGTGCTCTTATCCTGATTTAGTCAGTGTCGACGACTGGAGCCTTTCCAGTTCATAGTGGACACATGACCACACAGAGATTTAGGCTAGGGAGCCGTAGCAGACTCTGGTGCTCTGCCCAGATCCCCTTACCACGTCTATGAATGCCATCAGCCCCCTCTGAATCGTTAGGGAGAAATTGCTCCTGAGATGCTAGAACCCACCTTGTCCACACCATGGCGGCTGAAGTGCCTGGATCCCGACCAGTGGTGGGGGCACAGATCCCCAGCTGCCTTGTCTCTGAGCCAGGAGAATTCTGAAATGTCTGTTTCGATCAGAATGAAGCTTTAACTACCCACTGTGGTAACTGGCTTAATAACACCCCTTGTTAGCTCCCTCCCACCCCTTTATCACCTACTCACCTCCCTATCAGTTCCTTGCACCTCTCAAGTAAACTGTCAGCGCTCAACTTCTGAACCTGCTCTGAGGGAACCAAACAGAAGAGAGGAGCCTCCCCAAAGCAGGGACTCCAAGCCTCTGGGTTCTTTAAGCAAGAATAGGGCTGTCTCGAGCATCTTCTAGCCAATCCATATATCTTGAACTGCCCTAATGTGGCCAGATGAGAAGCGATTTCTAACATTTGTTATGCTAATTAACAAAGCTCTGTTGAGCAGGAAAACACGTTGGGGAAGGACACCCCTTATAGCTGCCTCCAGAGTGGGTTTCCTAACTCGAATCGAGCCCAGTGCCCATGGTGTGAGCTCCCGATGGTGGGTGTAAATGAACCCGAACACACATGCATGCTACCATACCGCGTGAGAGGAAGCGTTCAAAAGGAAATTAGACATCAGCACAGTCTGCCTGCAGATTATGTCCCCAGGCAGTCTCGGAAGCACAAAGAACCTATCTTCTGAAACACGCTTTCCCCACTTGAGTCCGCTGTGCCCTCGAGGGAGACTCCAGGTCTCACATTCACAGCCAGTGACTTCGGTCACTTGTCCTGCTGTAAATGTCTTTGTGGCTTGTGACAGCCTTGTCCTGAGATAAAGTGACCCTTAATTTCTCTAGCCAGGTTGGCGATTTTTCCTCTGTGGGTTCTTAGTAAACTCTTTTTTTCACACTTCTCCAAGCCACAAAGAGGACAGTGACATGGGATTTGCCTCAGCTGAAGGGGGAGACAAATTATTTACTCCTAACACCTGCAGTCTCGGTGTCATTAGTAAAGCTAACAGTCTAACAACATTCTATGTGTTGACAAGGGCCCCCAGTGAGACAGTCTTCTCTCTTTTCCTCTGAGTACCCAGTGTGCTTGGCCTCTATAGTCAGTCACCGGGAAAGTCTGAGCGAAACAAGTAGGAATTTATTTCTGCAAATCCCTAATTTGCAGAGGTTGTAGATCAACTTCTAACATCACCTTTGGAGAAATCTTGGTAAGAAGGATTTCCTAATAAATTGAAATTGAGTGCAGTTACTAGATATTTGAAAGCTCATTCACCTTCTACCTGGTTGTACTAATACTCTCCTCACCTCCTCTCCCACAAGGGACAGGAATAATGTGTCCAAATTTACCAAGTAGAATTCACTCCACATAGCTGACCTCGTCTTTCCACACAGAGGCCTGTCTTCTGGAATCTGATCGTTTTAAAAGATGAGCTACCTTCATGAATGTAGAGATTTAGAGGTCTAGAATTTAGAGATTTCTCTAGTAGATATATTTGGGGAAAATGAGTCCAAAGAAGAAATACACACCACCAATACATATTTTTAAATGTCTGACTCCATTTGTCATAAAAGTAATGCAAGTTTTAACTGCCAGATCACATTTTTATCTACCGAAGACGGGTGAACTGGTACCGCCCCGTATTGGTGAGGGCGCTGGGAGACGGTACTTTCAAACAGTACGTGGGTGTGACCTCTCGGGAGGGCAAGTGAGCAATTTAGACGAGAACGTTCTATTTTTTTCTCTCTTAAAGATGTTTTTCCCCTCTCTTTAAAAAACTTTCTCTCTTTTTTATGAAATTTGTTAGGGTGACATTGATAAATAAAATTATATAGATTTCTGCTGTACAATTCTATAATACATCAACTATGTATTTTATTGTATGTTCACCACCCCAAGCCAAGTCTTCTTCCATCACCCCCCCCCCAATACCCTGTTCTACCTCCCTCACACCCCTTTCCTTCTGATAACCACAAGAACCTTGGAGGTGGTCACAAACTTCCTCCTAGGTCTTCATTTCAAAGACGGAGTAAACAAAGATGAAGGTGAGAGCAGCATTTCTCAGCTGAGCAAAGGGCTCTCTGGCCAGACCAGCGTGGGTCGGGCTGCGCCGTAGCCCCTTCTTGACGAGTCCAAGGCATATTTGCAAACCAAAGACTAAAAAGACCTATAGTAAATAAATCTCCTTTCTACATATTATATGGTTTCTAAATGTAAATGCCAGCAAGACCCTTGTTTTTAGTACTATCTCCAGTTCTCCAACATTTTATTGGAACATGTTCAAACCCACAGAAACATTTGAAAAATGATACGGTAAACACCCATATACTCACCATGTAGGTTCTGCAGTTATCAGTGTGGACTATGCACTGTTTTATACTGCTAGCATGTCATTTCCACACTGTTGTAGAACTTGATAGAAATGGAATCCTATAGTATATTCTCTTTTGTATAAAGCTTTCTTTTTCTTTTTTGACTCAGTGTAGTGTTTTTGAGATTCATCCATGTTGTTGTGTTATCTGTCCATTTATTTATTTATTTATTGATTGATTGATTGCTGAATAATATTCCCTTGTATGAATATTCCACAGTTGACTCATTCTTCTGTTGATGGCTACTGGGCTTTTCCCAGTTTTTAGCGAGTATAAACAAAACTGCCGTGAACATTCTCCTGCAAGTCTTTCTATGGCCATGTGCTCTCATTTCTCTTGGGTAGGTAGGAGTTGAGTTGCTGTTCATGGGGTTGGTGTGTGTTCATTCTGTACGAAACTACCTGATCTTTCCCCAAAGTGTAGCGTTTTCCTCTCCCCCCAGCCAGATGAGGAGCTCCAGTCACTCCACGTTCTCATCAGCACTTGGTACTGTCAGCCCTTGTTATCCGAGCCGTCCGGTGGGTGCTGGTGTCTGTGGCTTAAACTGAATCTCCCCATTGAGCCTTTTTTATATGCCCATTGGCGATTTAGATGTCTTCCTTTGTGAATTGTCTGGTCAGATTTTTTAAATCCCATTTTTATTGAGTTGTAGGAATATCTATTTAATTGTTATATATAGCATATATACCAAGGGGTCTAAAAATATAGAGTTTAAAGACCACTAATAGAAAGAATCCACAACCCAAAGGGTAAGAACATTATTCTTAGCTTACCTCAGAAGCATTTTGTGTCTTTTATTATACACACTTCCTTTTGTCCTATCAGAGTTGAATGTGCTTCTGAATTTTGTGTTAACACATGCCTGTATTTGCTCTATATATTTTACCATCCCTAAATAGTACATCATTTGGTTTTGCCTGTTTTTGAATTCTATGTTCTGTGATGCTCAGTGTCAGACTATTGTATTCAGCCATATTATACAAAAGCCAGAGGTCATTTAGACTACTATATAATATTCCATTATGTGTCTATACCATAGCTCGTTCGTCCATTCTACTGTTAGTGAGTTTTGAATTTTTAGGTTTTTTTTTTTTTTGCTATTAACAATGCTATTATAAACATTTTTGTAATATCTTTCAATTACCTATGAAACTCGTAATCTGTAATACACACTTTAGAAAAACACTATACTGTGCTATAAAGTCTATCAATTGTTAATTATAACAGTGAAAAGTTGATAACAACCTAAATGTTCAAAAATGAAGGGTCAGTTATGTGCATGAGACATGCATGCAGTAGAACATTATGTAGGTATTAAAATGTATGTTTTATGCATTTATCATGATTTCCAATTATTAATCACAATACTGGAAAATGAATAACAATTTAAATGTTTATCAATAGAGGATTTGCTGAATAAATTTATGAGGTGTGAATTATAACGTAGGAATGAACATTTATACCTTTGTTATATTTAAGATCATTTAAAGATACAAGTAACAATAGCAATATGTTATACTGTATAGCGAGTATAATAAATAATTTTGTAAAATAATAAATAAAAGGTTTGTGGAGGGAAAACAAAAAATACTCTAAAATGATCATAGTCATTAGCTTGTGGTGGAGGAAGTACAGAGTGTTTTTATTTTGTTTCACTTCTTGATTCTTTTCTGTATTTTCAAATTTTCTGTAGTGAATATGTATAACTTGCACGGTGAGAAAAAGCAAGAAAGGTTCTTTTAGGAAAAGAACTTGGAGTCTCCAGATACTGCTTTTATCAGAGATCTTTGGAATTGCAGACATATATGTTCATTTTTTTTCTTCTCTGGCAATTTCAGGAGTTTGAAATTACAAATCTTGTTTGAGAAGAACCTAACATGCCCTGAATTAATGTGCAGGCCTATTTTCAAATGAGGCCAGAGTTCTCTGGAGGCTGCAAGACATCACTGCTTCAGTGTTTTCTCCAGCCTCAAACTGTGCTTTCCAGATGTTCATAGTTTCTCCTCCCCGCCTCCCCTCCGGTGACAGCAGGGCTTTCGCGGGTTGGTGCTGGGGAGGTACGTGAAGGTTGATGTCTAAAATGTATGGTGTGGGTGCACTGGGCCATAGAAGGCTTCAGCAGTCAGGAGAGAGCCTGCTGGTCACCCGAGGGATTGCAGGGTCTATGCAAGGTGCCCTAGAAACATGGCCTCTTTTTTTCTGAAAGATGGTCAAGATGCAGCGCGTGCCGGGACCCAAGGACCCAGCGGAGCTGACTTACTACACCCTGTACAACGGGAAGCCTTTGCTGGGGACTGCAGCTGCCAAGATCCTGAGCACCATTGACTCCCAAAGGATGGCCTTGACCTTGCATCACGTTGTCCTTCTGCAAGCTGACCGTAAGGGGATATTCTTTCCATTCATTCTTTTTAACCCGTTAAATGTTTTCTGCAAATCAAATGATTCCCTAAGCTCCAGTTAATGGACCCAGAGATAAACACATTTCTGTTCTAGAAGGTTTTTCAATCAGTCAGCTGTGTTTGAAGCAATACGATTTGGGTAAGAGATATGTTTCGAATATTAGAAAGATAGTAATAATATTGCTATGCCCAAATTCTACCCACTCTTCCTCCTCAGTATAGTCAGGTGAATGGTTGGAAAAGTCACCACAGCTGAGATCATATTTGTCTGCTGGGGAGTTAAAGATAATTTGCAGAGCCCCACAAGAACTGCGTTGGTGCTGGAAGACATACAGAGGTGGGCAAGGCCTGCTCCCTGCCGCTAAGGAGCAGAGAGGGCGTTCATGCAGATCCAAAGGAGTGGCCTGCAGGACAGTGCTACAAGGAGGCAGGGTGACACCGGGGCTGACAGGGGGGTTTGCTCTGAAGGGGCACCTGGAAAGAGTGTGCAGAGGATATTAAAAGGATATTAAAAATAATAGCTGCCTCTTTGAATACCCTCCCTCATGGCAGCTGCTGTGCTCATGGCTCTACATAGATTTCCCACTTTCTCTTCTCATCGGGGCAACTTTATTCAGCTCCAAATTACAGATGAGGAAACCGAGGCTCAGAAAAGTTAACTGAGTTGGTCAGCCCCGCAGAAATAGTGCTTAGGTCACCCAGATATGAATCTAGATGTGTCCAACCGCAAACATAGGTTCTTAACTGTGTTACACGCTAAGATTTCAGCAGAGGGAGAGGAAGGGTGTATATTCCAGAGAGAGGGAGCAGCGTGAGAAAAAGAATGGAAGCGGAAAGTATCGGGTATGCTTGGAAAACAAGGAGCTCAGTGCCTGGAGTGCAGAAACACGGGGGGGAGTTGATGGCCTTAGAGAGGTGTATTGCTTGAGAGAGTCCGGCCTTGGTGGGCAGGGGAAGGAGAATGTGCGTATACGATTCATTTGCTGGAGATTTTCGCCTGGTTCACTGTCTCTGCTTCTGCCTGGTTCACTGTGTCTGCTTCTGCATTGCTTCTTCGGTCCCAGCTACTTTGACCTATGAGTTCTGTGGCCCCCTCACTTCGGTCAGAGGCCTGTGATGCTTGAGAAAGGGCAGAAAATCGAGAGCTGGCTTTATTTAGAGCAAGGGGTGAACAGAGTGTCGGAGGAGGTGGTTGAGGCTAAGGAGCCCTGGCTGATGGTGAAGGGGACAGTGGAAGGTGTGAGAGCACAGGTGGGAGAGAGATCGGGCCAGATTTAGAAGATGCACGGAGCCTTTTGGGAATGAGTCCCGGGATCACCTAGGGGATCACCCAGAGGCTGGCTACGACTCAGAGAGCCAGGCTCCAGAGCCTGTTCGGCCGAGCCCCAAAGTGCTGTCTCTCAGCCTGACTTCTCTGTCTCCTCCAGATCCACGTGGTCCTCTCGGGTCCCTTCTGCAATAACTCCCCCTCGCCTCCATTTCATCGTGTCCTCTTAGACTTTGCAAGTGCTTCCCAAATAACTTGACCTCAGTCACTTTGCCGTTAATGCACCATCCATACTGTAATTAGAGTCATTATATACTCTTTGGAAAACACAGATTCTGATCTTACATCTACTCCATTAAAAAAAATACATTTGATGGTTCTCTATTGTTCACAGAATAAAATCTAGACTCCTTAAAATGGGTCTTCCAAGCCCTTCGTACTAGGTACTCAACCGACGCCCCGGTCCCTTCCCAGCCGGGTCCCCTCTCCTTCATACCTCATGCTTCGGCCACACAGGAGTACTCATCCCTCACATTTCCTATTCCTCTGAAGCCTTCCTTGACCCCTGAAGCAGAGCCCCCTGTCCCCAATCTTCTTAGTTCCAGGGGCTTCCATTGCCCTTATCACATTGAGCACATGAGTTGTTTCTCTCTCCCTCATGAGCCTTTTAAAAGCGGTGGCAATGTCTCATTTATCTCTGAATATCCAGCCCCAACTACTGTCTGGCTCTGTTCTTGAGAAGGCAAATGACTGGCCTTTGCTAAGTGCCTGTGCCAGGCCCCGAGGGAGGCACATGGTTGGAAGACACCGAAGCGGAGCAGGGGGGAGCAGAGCCTTTGCAGCAAGACAGACCTGGATGCGTGCCCCTGCGCTTCCACTTAGCTGGGGAGCTCAGAGACAAGTGGACGGCCCTCTCTGACCTTCATTGTCCTCATCTGTAAAGTGGTGATACATTTTTTTAAAAACAGACCTAATAGAGCTACTCGGAGGACTAAATGAGAGAATTATGCATGGACAGGGCTTAGTACAATCCTGGGGCGCCGATTAAGCACTTAGTAAGTGGTAGCTGAATGTCTCATTTGTCCACAAGGTAGGACTGAAGGAAAGAGGGAGGGAGGAAAGAAAGGTGATGTGAAGGTTAGGGACCCATATAGTTCACAGAATAGGGGGCTACTAGTGAAAATAGAAAGGGGGTTGGAGGGGAGAAGCATTTTTAGAAAGGAGAGGTATTAAGGGGTGCTGTTGGGATATTGAGGGGTGCTGATAAAACATTGAGGGTGTTGGTGGGATATTGAGGACTGAAGTTAAGAAAGTTGTTGGAATTCAAGCCTGGATTTCAGAAGAGAAGTTCAAGTTAACACTATAGATTTTGAGAATGTTGTTATTGTTAAAATCCCAGAGAAAATCTGAGTGCTTTGGGGGAGGGTGTAGCTGGAGGACAGACCGTGGGACATGCCTCCATGCCCAGGATCGGATGAGGAAGAAGCTGCGACCAATGAAGAAGAGGAGGAACAGAGATGTTGTCAATCTCATTTTCTCCTAATGGTTCTGAAATCAGCCTGCCGTGTGAATCTGAGGTCAACACTTTGAACGGTCACAGTGTTGAATGAACACCTTATCCCTCTGGGGGATAGGGGGTTGTTAACGTTCTGTGTGTTCCAGGGTCTTCTAAATTGCTAGTTCTGGGCCAGGGTACAGGGCCCTGTGTGCCCTTCAATTGGAGGGTACAGTGCCACTTCACCTCGTCACCTCTAGGTAAGGAGGCAGCAGGGAATTCTAAAGAGGCAGCTGCATTTACTGTGAAGGTTTTCATCCGCTCCCTTTGCAGGACCTGGAGTGAGAGGCCCTTCATAGTAGTTGTCTAGCTGACAGAGTCGAAAAAAGTCTCTCCACGCAGAGCCAAACCAGAGCAGGAATTGGTTTGCCTTACATGGCCATCAGACATTCACCTCAAAAATGTCATTTACAGAAAGCTACAGGCTGACCTTGTGGTGAAAGGAACTCATGCTCATTCGATTTTTTTTCCAACAAATTTATTTATTTATTTTTTATCCTTACCCAAGGACATTTTTGCATTTATCTTCAGATAGAGCGGGAGGGAGAGAGGGAGTAAGAGAGAAACATCGATGTGAGAGAGACACATTGACTAGCTGCCTCCTGTGTGACCCCAACCGGGGCCGGGGACAAACTGCAGCCAAGATACATGCCCTTAGCAGGAACCGAACCTGGGTCTCTCTGGTCCGCGGGCCAATGCTCTAACCGCTGAGCCAAACCGGCCAGGGATCAACAAATTCCTTTTTTAAGCACCTGTTATGTGCCTGGTACTGTTCCAGGCACCGGAGACCTAGCAGTGGATGAAACAGACAAAGTCCGACCTCATGGAGCTTACATTCCTGAGTGGGCAGATCAAATAAAAATAAATAAATAATGTTTCATGCTAATAAGTGCCGTGGAGAAAAATTAAGCAGGGAAGGGCTAAGGGACGCTGAGGAGATAACAGTGATTTTAAATTCTTGGGGAGGGGGTCAAGAAGAGGATCGCTGAGGTAGTCACTTTTGAGTGACCCCTGAAGATACCTGGGGACGAGGTTCCAGGAAGAAGGGGATGGTGGGAGATCAGCAAGGAGGTCAGAGGCACGCAGGGGCCTCATGGGCCGCACCCCGAGGGGGATGACAGCCATGGGGTGGTTTGGGCAGGCGGACAGCATGGGCCAAGCACTCAGCAGCGGCCGGCCCTGGGCGAGGCCCGCCTCCCCATCCACTCACACCAGCCATGATCTCTGGTGTTTTCACAGCCTCACAAAAATGAGCCAGAAACATTTCAAAACAGATTTCTTCTCTTTTCAACATTGGTTCCATGTGAGAATAATTTATTTTTAGTTTAGCTTATGTGGATCCTTTGCCTTCATTCTTTCTGACAAACGTGCGCGTGCACACGTGCGTGCGTTTGTGTATGTGTGTGTATTAACCCAGAACTGACTTAAACTGTGTATTTCAGAGAAGTGATTTTTCATAAAAGCACCTAACCCATTGGGGCTCAGTTTGCTCACCTGCAAACTGGGGATAAGAACAGCACCCAGGCAAAGGTCCTGTCACGGCACCTAACCCGCAGAGATGCTCAGAACATGTCCCCTTTCCTGTCCTTCCTCTACTGACTTTCTTGCCAATCGAATAACCATTTGTTTCTTTTCACCTCTGTACATGACTTTGTAGTTTTAGATCATTGTGCCAATGAATATATTGTGTTTGCATGACTTCAGTTTGACCTAACCTTACTGTGTCTTTGACTATTAAATGAATTTATTAATGTACATAAGATCAGTCTGTTCTCTCCTCATTGAAATAGAGGTAAAAGGATTTCACAGACTGCACCAAGAAGGAACATATCCACCAAAACAACAAAGTTGAGTAAAAGCAGAACACGTGTACCTAGTTCATTCTTGCTCACGAAAAAAAAAAAAACAGGTCTATGTTTAGGGCGCCCTGTTCTGGCGCACTATACATCTTCTTTATCGGGGTAGAACAGCGTAGCCAAAAAGAGGCACATTTTTCACAGCAGGTCTAAGCTTTAAAAAATGTCGAAGACATTTATACTCACATAGAAATACCAAATTACTAAAAGCAGTAGCAATTAAATGTTTAATGTCAACAGAAGCACATTATCTAATGAGCTGTTTTCAGAAGTTAATAATGTGATTAATCACCAATTGACAAAAACCGAGGAAAAGATGTTCTTTTTCCCTAATAGCACTCCGGAGCGAAGTGCTGCCTGATGAGAGGCCCCAGCTGAAGGCCGGGGGTGGTGGGGGTCAGAGGCAGGTGGGCTGGCTTCCCGGCCAGGTCCTCACCAATGGGATCTTTATATTCCAGAGTCTGGTGCTCAGCTTTGCCAGTCTAGTTCAACAGGATCAGGAGGATCAACTCATGCTAACCAGATTGACTAAGATATTGAAATATAAATCAGATTGGCAGTATATTAATTTAAAATATGGATTAGAAATACTAAGGAGATGGCACTTCTCTTTCTAACTGCCCGTTACTCTGTCCCGTATGAAAATCTGTATGGGAAGCTGAATTGTAACAAGGGTAATGGTAGTTAATTTAGACATTCATTCAGCTTTTAATTGAGCACCTACTATGTACAAGGTCCTGTTCTAGGCCCTGCAGATACAGCAGTGAACAAGGGACAAAACGTTTCCTGCCCTCTTGGAGTGTATATTCTAACAGAGGGGCTGGGGGTGCCAGATGACATATGGACCATGTCAGATAGTGACATGTGCTTTAGAGTGTGACCCGGGTGCCTGCGGCATGGGTACTGCATGGTAGCTTGTTAGAAAGGCAGAATCTCAGGCCCTACCCCAACCCACATGAACCAGAACCCATGTTTAAGTGAGATTCCAGGTGATTGACGTACACATGAACGTTTCAGAAGCACTGCATTAGAAGAAAGATTGAGCCCTGGCCAGTTTGGCTCAGCGGTTAGAGCGTTGGCCTGCGGTCTGGAGAGACCCGGGTTCGGTTCCCGCTAAGGGCATGTACTTCGGTTGCGGTTTGTCCCGGCCCTGGTTGGTCGTGTGGGTGGCAGCCACTCGATGTGTCCCTTCACGTCGATGTTTCTCTCTCTCTCTCTGTTCCTCTCCCTCCCTCCCACTCTATCTGTACAAAAAAAGGAAAAATATCCTCGGGTGAGGATAAAAAAAAAAAAAAAAAAAGAAGAAAGATTGAGTAGGATAAGGGGAATGGAGCGTGCCAGGGAGTACAGGAGAGGACTCACAGATAGGTGGCACTTGTTTAGAGCCCTGAAGAGAAGGGTCAACACTGATGACAAAGTTGTTGGCCTGAGAGCCCTGGCTGGTTTTCTCAGTGGTTAGAGCATCATCCCATGGACCGATGAGTCGCGGGTTCAATTCCAGTCAAGGGCACTTACCTTGGTTGCGGTTCGTCCCCGGCCCTGCTTGGGGTCGAGTGGGAGGCAGCCAGTCTACGTGTCTCTCTCACAACACGCTGATGTTTCTCTCTCTCTCCCTCCCTCCCACTCTATCTGAAGAAGTAAAACATCCTCGGGTGAAGATTAAAAAAAAAATTATTGGCCTGAGAAACTGGGAGGGGGAGCCATGAGAATATGTAGGTGAAGAATGTTCTAGGTGGAGGGATCAGCCAGTGCAAAGGCCCTGAGACAGGGGCATGTCCAGCACATCCAAGGAACAGTAGGAGGCCAGTGGTGGTAACAGAGTGAGTCAAGGGGAGAGCAATGGGCTTATAAGGCCAGACTGAGGTGGTTGTAGGGGCAGATCACTTAGGGACTCATAGAAATTATAAGGATTCTCTGGCCTTTACTGTGAGTAGGGTGGGAGCCTCTAGAGCAGCGGTTCTCAACCTGTGGGTCACGACCCCTTTGAGGGTGGAACGACCTTTTCACAGAGGTGGCCTAAGACCATCGGAAAACACGTATTTCCGACGGTCTTAGGAACCGAGACACCGCTCCTCATCCATCTCCAGGCGGGTCCGCCCACATGCAGATGCGCCCACACACAACATGAGGAGCTGCATTAAAGGGTCGTGGCACTAGGAAGGTTGGGAACCACTGCTCTAGAGGGTTTTGAGCAGAAGAGTGTTGTGATATGAGTTTTTAAAGTATCACTCCAGCTGCTGTGTTACAAATAGACCATAGGGGACAAGGTGCAGGGTGGGAGGCCGCTGAGTGATTCAGGGGGAGATGTAGGGAGTTTGGACCACAGTGAAAGCGGCGGTGACGGAAAGAAGGGAACAAACCCTGGGTATGTCCCGAGGATGGAGATGACAGGGTTTGTTGATGAATGGGATGTTGGATGAGGGTAAAAGAGAAGGGTCAACGCTGATGACGAAATTACTGGCCTGAGAAACTGGAAGGAAGAAGTTGACATTTATTGGAGTGGAGAATATCACAGGAAGAATAGGTTTCGGAGGGAAGTGGAGAGTGGATTCTGGACATATTAACTTGAGGTAGCTCTTAGGTATCTAACTGGAGAGTGGAGCTGGCAGTTGGACGTAGGAATCTAGAATTGAGGGTGGAGGTTGGAGATGTATAAATGAGCTTCATCAGAACACAGGTGGTATTGATTTATTTATTTTACATATGTTTTTATTGATTTTTTTTTTAGAGAGAGGGGAAGGGAGAGAGAGATAAAAACAAAACATTGATGTGAGAGAGAAACATCAATCGGCTGCCTCCTGCACTCCCCCCACCAGGGATCAAGCCCGCAACCCGGGCATGTGCCCTGAACGGGAATCGAACCAGGACCTCTCAGTCTATGGGATGACAGTCATCCACTGAGCCACACCAGCTGGGCAGAACACAGGTGATATTTAAAGCCATGATTCTATGAGATCATCCAGGGAGTGGGGAAGAGAACTTGGTGGTACTAATGGACAGCGTGACCAAACCAAAACAGCCAGTTGCATGAAGATAGACCTGCCATCCATCCAGATTACCCATGTTTGCCAGTCAGGGCACATTCCCCTGGCATGACAACTCCTTGCCTGGCCTTTGGTTCTCATTCTGTAGCTTTTCTGCAGACCCCACTCCCTTCCAAGAATGCCTTTCTACAGACAGTTGCTTTGGTTACTGTTTTCTTTATTTTGGTTCTAAGAACATAGTGGTCCTTTTGATTGAACTGAAGTGTTTTCCAAGGTTCCCCACCAGTGATTATAGGGGACTCTCATCCACCTCACGCCAGGGCCTTTCCTTTTTCTTACATTTTTCTAACCCAACTTATTAAAAAATTGAAAGAATTGTATGGTGAACACCCAAATCTCCACCACCTAGATTCCACAATGAGCATTTTACTATATTTTTATTACTACATATCTGTTCATCTATCAATCCTTCCATTCACCAATTCATCCATCTTATTTTCCGATGCATTTCAAGGTTGCAAACATCTGTAGACTTCAACCCTAAACACTTCAGCGTGCATATCATTGCCTCAAGTTCAGTATTTTTTTATGATGTTTTAGGTGAAATTTACATACAGTGAAATGCACAGACCCTACATATCTCATTTGATGCGTTTTGACAAATGTGTACACCTGTGTAATGCCAGCTGCTGTCGGGATATAGAGCATGTCTGATAACACATTCTTCCAACTGACATTGGCTTTGGTCATTCTTTTCTGTACTCTGGCTCTGAGAACAGCCGGATCCTTTTGATTAGACTGAAGCATTCCCAGCTTCCCCAGCCAGCCATTTGCGAACGTGGGAGGGAGGTCTCCGCTGGGTACACTTTAATCAACCCTTATTCAGAGGGTGACTTCACGACAATATTTAGAATCATCTCTCTGTGGCCTTTGCTTCCTGATTCCAGCACTCTAATGCTCAGATTTCTTCTCTCTTCTTTTTGACTCATTGACATCACCAATGAGGAAAATTGATACCTATCCATCGTCCTCCTCCTCCTTTTAGTAGCACCTTTTATTGAGCACCTACCGAAGCACCACATGTGTCTCGTCTCACTGATGCCTCACAAAGTGATAGCCCCATTTTACAGATGAGGAAACTGAGACTCAGAGACCTTGAGTCACTTGTCCAAGGCAAGAGCCTTTCTGATCCCAAACCCTCTGAACCATCTCACGATTTGGGACTGGGAGGGATTGTCTCTGGTGGCCTTCCCCTTCCCAGTGCTCCTTGTCATGTGCTCCCCACTGGCTCTTCCCTGCAGCTGTGGTGAAGAACCCACCCAACAACCTGTGGATCATCGCCGCGGTGCTGGCACCCATCGCCGTGGTCACCGTCATCATCATCATCATCACTGCTGTGCTCTGCCGGAAGAACAAGAACGACTTCAAGCCGGACACTGTGATGAACCTGCCTCAGAGGGCAAAGGTAGGCCGTGGACGCGGGCGGAGAGACGCAGGAGCCCGGCCTGCAGGGGGCGCTCTGCCTGCCTTTCCTCCCTTAGCTTTTGAGACATTGCTAGTCCCTTCAGAAACATTCTCATTTCCAAGGAGTCCTTTCATTCATTAATTTATCTGTTTGAATGTTTAAAAGTTTGTGGTGAAATGTACATAACAAAATGTATCATCTTAATCATTTTTAAGTCAACAATTCAGTGTTGTTAAGCATAATTATTTTGTTGTACTCCCTTTATTTATTTATTTTATCCTCACCCACAGATATGTTTATTGATTTTAGAGAAAGGTGGAAGGGGGGGAGAGAGGGAGAGAGAGAGAGAAACATTGATGTCAGAGAGAAATATGGATCAGTTGCCTCCCATACGGACCCCAACCAAGGATGTGTCCTGACTGGGAATCAAACCCTCAGCCTTTTGGTATAGGGGACGATGCTGCCACCACCTGGGCCGGTCAAGGCTGTACCGCCTTCATTTGTCATCAGGACTGACAGCTAATGCTGTCTCATGCCCACTCTGCTGTCAGTGCTTCTAAGCGCTTCACATAGAGCAGTTCACTCGGCCCTCGCACCTACCCTCCGAGGAAGGGCCCTTCTCGTACAGATGAGGAAACTGAGGCACAGAAAACTAGCTAGACCTAAAAGGGGCCTTCATCGAATCTGACCCCCTCTGGCAAAGAAGTGACTCCCTCAAGATCGCAGTTAGTAAGTAGCAGAACTCTTAGTAGAGTTAGGTCTCTTGTCTCACAACGCAGGGCTCTTCACCTAAGACCCTCAGAATGTCCCTTCTTCCGCTGGCCGGAGTGGCTAATTCTCAAAGGCTGCCATGAGGGGCGAGCTGCAAAACCTCGGCCAGTCAGCTGTCACACCCCAGTGGCTCCAATGAAGCCTGGCCAGGAGGTCATCCACTCTCAACAGCCTCCACAGGCCTGCCCCGGCCACCTCTGGTGCCTGGGAGGGGAAGGGACTGCGGACATCCAAAGGCTGATTTCCATTCACGTGCTCCCTCCATGGTATTCCGTGAAGGGCATACAATGCCCTGCAATACCCGACGTCTAAATGATGCCGGACAATTTTCTGGGCTCCCCTACGTCTGTCACCTCCCTTGCTCATTACAGCAGCCCTTGCTACTCACAGTGAGGTAGGTGGCTGGGAAGATTTTATTATTTTATTGCTAAGAAACTCAAAGAGATACTGCGGGACTTGTCCAAAGTCACACGACTCTCAGCAGAGGGGCGACTCAGGCCCACATCCGAGTCTTTGGGTTCTTTCTACTTTCTACACCTCTCTGAACCCTGAGCCTTGGCAGGTAGAACCCTCCTCCAGCTCTGAGTTCCCGAGCTTAGTCCATCTGTGCAGGAATGAAACGGTGAATGAAATTTCGTAGCCACTGGAATGCATGTCATGGAGATCGTTCTTGCTGGGAGTCACGCATGCCTCGTTTTTCTGGATGATCACTCTTAGCTTCAGCCAAAGAAATCAAATGAATTTTATTGTTTATTAAACCAATTCACCTATTGAGAAGCTGCAGCCTGATTAGACACTCCGTCTCCTGCAGAGCCAAACCCCAAAGAATGTCGTTCTGATTCTGTTGACACAAAGCCACCTGCTTCCCAGATGCAGCGTGATGTCGGGAATTACCCAAGCAGTGAAAAATGAGACTGTTCCGAGTGGGGGTATTTCATTTCCATCCGAGCTTACCTGAGCCTCTCAGACATAGCAGTCATCACCAGAATCTAATTGCAGCCCAGTCCAGGAATGCAAAACATGTCACACTGAGGTTGTAAATACTGTCTTTGTGTTAAAGATTAAGCCAGAATTTTATTAGTTTGCTAAGATGAGTTGGCCGGCACATGACTTCAGCATACCTTCTGGCTTGAAAGCTACCTGAAGCTGGAACGGATCAATGTTTGTGGGTTCTCATAGACCCTTTTTATGTTCCTAGCCGGTGCATTGTACTACGAGAGATACCAGCTGATGTTGAAAATCAAACAACTTTAGGTTGCACGAGATGATTGAATTCACTTGTGTGTGGTGATGTTGGTTGTTTTCTCCCTCTACGAGGCTGGGCTACACACTTTGATTGCCAAAGCCCTTTTATTGTGGGAGACCAGCAGGGTGGAACTCATTTTTACTGCATCCTGCTGCCGTGGCGACCCAGTGACCCTGCAGTGCTGGCGAGAGGAGAGCCACCTGCGTGACTTCTCACCTCTGTGTGTGAGCAGAATTCATGGAATGCCGAAGGATGGGGTGGAATGAGAACGTTAGCCTTTGCCGCCAGGAGGGTGGGGCCCCAGTCTCCTGAACATCACTGCATCTTTAGAACACAGGCTGCCATGCCAGAAGACATTCTGGGGATCCTGACGGAGACTCAGTAATAGATGAACATGCTGAGAGGAGGTGATGTGGCTGTCCTGGGAGCTGAGACCAGGGCATGATGCCAGTATCCTCCTTCGGAGATGAGGTACCACGGGCAGACCCGTTACCCTTGTTGTCAGCAGGGCTTTCTGCAGGTAGAATGTTGAGAAGATGATAAACACAGGAGGGCCAGCCAATCACCTCCTTTCTTCCTAGTTCATGTCTCCTTACTCTTCGTCATTGAATTCACCGCCTTTCCCCAGTTGTGCTCTTCATATTCTTGGAGAGAATGTGGTTCCCAGGAGCAGGCAGCCTTAGGAGACACAGGTAGGACCGTATCCAGGTGTGCATGGAGCTCAGCGGGCCTGCACTGGTTGGCATGACCATCTGCTCAGGACAGGTCACCCACCGCCAAACATGCCCAACTCCTTTCTCTTTCTCACATACTATCTGTATGACCTGTGTACTTAACCTCTTTGTGCCTCAATTTTCCTATCTGTGAAAGGGGGATGATAGGTTGTTGTGAAGACTGAGTTATATAAATTACTTGGAGCTGTGCCTGGTATATAATAAGTATTATATACAAACTGGCTTTTATTATCACAATGTTTTCTTAAAATATCTGGGGAACATGTCAACTTTTAATTATTAGAGATAATTTGATTTGATAGTTTTACAAAACTCATTGAAATAACTATACATACTTCTTGATGATGTATTAATGGGGTTGGGGATCGCTAGTTGAATCTAATGAGTGGTTAATCTCAGGTTGGAGGTTGAAAGACCACTACTCCGTCAGTCAGAAGAGTAAGGGACTAGTCTTGAATTTTTCACCACTTAGCTGTGTGATCTTGGGCGAGTCACTGAACCTCTGTAAGCCTTTATTTTCTTACCTGTAAAATGAAGACTGTGATGTTTTCCCTGCTTACCTCACAGGGTTGCTGCGAGGACAAAACGAGGTGTCAGCATTTTGCAGGCTCTGCGTACTGAACATGTGCAGGGGCTGTTGTCATTCACCTAATAACAAGGCCGCCTTTCAAGCTCATCATTCCTTAATGTCCTTATTTCTGCTTACCCATCATCAATCCAGCCCCCCGAAGTATCCAGCAGGGAAGTTCAGCCCAGTGTGAAGGACGACGAGCCACACCCAGAGGGAGTTAGGGGTGGGGGGAGAAGGCCAGAGCCAGTGTATGGTTTTCACTAGTTCCTGAGAAGTCTGAGCTGCCATCGGGGACTCCCAGTTCCTCACTGACATGCCGGGAGTCTCAGCGTGTAAGCAGGGCCACGTGTAGCAGGAGATGCCAACAAGAGGGGAGGCTGCAGAAGGAACGGGGAGGCCGTGGGAAGAAGCATCAGCAGCGGTTAGATATCCTGGCTCTGGCTCCACAGACCAGCTATGTGAGCCTGGGAAACTGCTTCACCTCCTCCGTTTCTTCATCTTTAAAGTGGGGAATCATAATAATACCTACCCCCTTGAGCTGTACTGAGGATGAAATGACAGTTTTATGCAATGTGTTTGGTACTCTACCAGTAATATCAAGTGAAGCTGCAACTGTGAGCACCTTGAGGGTAGGGACCAGTTGTTATTCATCTGTATATCTCCAGCACCAAGCCCAGTCCCTGGCACTAGCCACTGCTCAGCAACTCTAATTGGAACAAAATCTAATAGGATAATGGGGGCTGGAGGTATTTTGGAAAAGGAGCCTGCAGGAGATGAGGCTGGGCAGGTGGGTTCAGCGAGAATGTAAAGGTCCTTGAATGCCTTTCCATAGAGGGTAGGTGCCATGAATCATTTTTAATGACCTGATATGGTTTAAGGGAGATAACGTTGGAGGCTTGTCAAGGGTGGGCCTGCAAATGAGCAGAATGGGAGTAAGGAGACCAAGGCAGGAGTCCATGCAACTGAACCTGGAGCGCAAAGGTCGGCTTCTAGAAGCATTTCACTTGAACCCAGTTGGTGACCAGTCGGTTGCAGGAGGAGCAGGCAGTTCGGTAATCCAGTAACGTTATCAAGTCATCCAAAGCTCCATCTGTTTCATGTGGCCCCAAGGATGGGGAGGGAAATGAATAGACAGACACTACTTCAGAAACACTTCCAGGTCCTGGCATCGAATGCCAGTGGTCATCACACGGGTCGCAGTGTGAGTGCCTCAGAGAAGACGGTGGGGGGAGCACAGTGCCCAGAGTGAGTTTCCCAGGGAATTGGGGGGTTTTTCCATGACAAAATTATAGACGGCTTAAAATAAGGAAGCTTTGCTGGATTTAGCAATAAAACTCCATTCTGTTCTGAGATGCGGTAGCAAGATTTGACCAGTTGGGTCAAAGCCTTAGACCATTGAATCTTGCTGGAGCCTGCTGTTATATTTCTCAGCTCAATTGGCTGCTGGAGGAGGAGCTTCTGATCATTTCAAGTTCTGATAGAACCCAAATGATAGGGGTTGAGTTTCCTCCCAAAATTTTCTTGAAGAGAATTTCTGATGCCCATTCCACCTGGGCTAGGATTTACTAGCAAGGCAAACAATACTGGCCAGTAGTGGTTGAGTACTTACTATGTACCAGGCACTTAGCTAAGTGTTGGACTTGAATTTACTTATTTAATCCACACAGCATCCCTTCGAGAATGGTTAAATATCGCTCTCATAGCCACACACATTTTATCCTGTTTACACTATTATTATCTCCATTTTACACATGGGAAAACTGACGTGCAGGGAATTTCAGTGACTTACCCAGAGTCACCCAGCTGTAAGTGGCAGAGCTAGGATTTGAACCTAGGCACTCTGTTTTTAGAGCTGTCGCTGCTAACCACCCCACTGTCCTGCCTCAGATCTGTATTGTGCTGCTTTGGGGTGTAAAGCAGAATAGAGACACTCCTAGGAGTTGCTTAAACGCGCCTCTTGGTTTTTTATTACTACGCTAATAGATGTCTGTTGGGTTTTGCTCACAACTGCCCTGTTCGCTTGGGATTTCAGACATTGTGCAGTAAAAGCCTTGCTAATTTCCCAGTAACGAATCATAGAAGAGCCAACTTGCTTAAGGGAGAGGTCTGGATTAAAGAGTGATTTCCATAAACAGACTGATGAACCTCAGAAGGAAGGGGGGAGGAGGGGCTTTGGGAAGAGATAAATCAAAGAACTAGTATGTATAACCAATGGACACAGCAGTGAAGATGAGGTGGGGGTGGGGGAGAGAGGTGTGGGGAAGAGAAGGGTCAATGGGGGAAAAAGGGGAGACATCTGTAATACTTCCAACAATAAATGTACATTTTAAATAAATAGTGACTCCATAAATTCCATGTGGTGGCATGTTTTTTCCCCTCTGTTTTCAGATCTGTGATTCTCTCTTAATACTCAAGGGTAATGGAGGTAAAGCAGATATGATTTTCTTTATTTGTCAGATGAGAAAATTGAGGTTCAGTGTTCAAGTGACTTGGCCAAGTCACACACCTACTATTGCAGGGGAGTTAGGGGGTGACAGAATATTCCTGGGTAGGAGATTATACAAGACCTTCTTAAACACATCAATTAAGAGTTTCTAATTAGCCATATCCAGAGACTTAAAATTAGTGCTCTCAGATCCTTAAAAGAAGTTTGTCCTCACACATTATTTGCATCTTGTTTTCACTATTCACTTTTCTGAGTAAGTCTTATCTATAGAGATTCTGAAGGTAGGTGGAATCAACACAGAATCTGATTTTGCAGAGATAGTTACGATGGAGATGAGCGAACTCCTGTTTGTTGGAAAGCTAAGCATGGTCCCGACCCATGCACGTTCCCACCTGTCTTCTCTTACAGCCGTTGTTGGAGCCGCACTTTGCCAGAAACGTGACTGCCCATCTGTTTCCTCTTTGCAGCCTGTGCAAGGCTTTGACTATGCCAAACAGCACCTGGGCCAGCAAGGGGCCGACGAGGAGGTCATCCCCGTGACCCAGGAGACGGTGGTCCTCCCACTCCCTGTTAGAGATGCTCCTGCCTCGCAGGAAAGGGACGTCGCCCAGGACGGAAGCACCATCAAGACGGCCAAGTCCACCGAAACCAGAAAGAGGTAGGCGGGCCAGCGTCTGCCCCTCCGTGTCAGCAAGAGAAATAACTAATGCTGAGTAGAGCCAAAGCCCTGAAGCTCACATCCCTGTCCTCTTTAAACATCCCCCTTCACGCTCATTTTGAATATTTGAAAAGGAGACTGGAGGAGAGGAGGAGAATCACAATACCTGCTTCTCGGGAGCCACCCTTGGAAGGTTTTCTGTCGCAGATCAACCACAACAGCGGAGCTGTAGCTCTTACATTCATTATAATACATTTGGCACTGATGTCACACTTGCAAACTGTAACTTACCTTAAAAGCAGTTTCTTTGAGTTAGCATGTGTAGTTGTATTGTATCTGGTAGTTTCTCGGTGGCTTATGAATTTCGCTCCAAACCATTTATTGAGTTTTTACCATGAACGGAGTGCATTGCCATGCACTGGGAGGTCTACAGAGAGGTTTAGGATGGATTCCTGACCCTGTGGCTCTCAAGATAAAGAGACGAGAGAGCTAGATAGCTGGAATATGATGCGTGATGTGTGGATGCCCACAGTGGAGTCTGAACAGAGTGCTCTGGAAAAGAGGAGGCAAGAACTTAATTCTGATGAGGGAGGGCATCATGGAGGAGGCTATGTTTTAGCCAGGCCTTCAAGGGTGAGTGGGGTGTCAATAGGTGGGAGGAGATAAAGGAATCCGGTCTGAAAAAGCTGGGAAGGATAAGGGACAGCCATGTTCACTTGATGGTGAGTGTCCCTGGAGTTTAGAGTTCACAGGGGCTGGGATGTAGTGAAGGATGAAACCAGAAGATAGATGAAACTTGTAGATGGTTTTGACTCCCAGGCTAAGGACTTTGACCTTTATGCTCTAGCCAATGGGAAGCCACTGAAAGTTCTTGAGGAAGACAGTAATGTCCAGCCTGTAGTTATAAAGATGACTCAGGTGGTAATGAGGAAGATAGTAGGAGAGGTTAGGCTGGAGGACAGGAGACTCATTGTAAGGACTTTGCAATGGTCTTAGAAAGAGGTAATGAACCCTATGGCCAGCTCTGTTGACTGAATAAACCAACTCCCATTGCCAAACCCTTCTCCTTTTCCTGGAGACCACAATGGCTGGAAAAGCTATATCCTTCCTGTCTCCTTCCCTTCACCTAACATATATTTATTGATTGCTTGCTGTTTAACAGGCACTGGGGATACTGCAGTGAACAAGTTTCCTGCTCTCTGGGGATTACAGTCTGGGGGGCAGATAGACAATAAACAGAGAAATAGACACATAGAGGATCTAGTGGTGGTGAGAATGAAGAAGAAAACTGAAGCATGGTAAAGACATAGAGAGACGGAGGGGGGACGTGATGCTATCCTAGCAGGAAGTCAGGGAAGGCCTCTCTGATAGTGTGACATTTGAAGAAGACCTAATTGAAATGATGTGTAAGCCTTGAGGCTATCTAGAGGAAGAGTGTTCTAAGCAGTTGGAACAGTATATGCAAATCCCAGAGGCGGGACTGCTTGACTTGCTCAAAGGAGAGCAAGAAGGTCACAGAGGCTGATGTGGACCGCGGAAGAAGTGGCCCCAGAGGAGTCAGAGAAGTTGCCTGAAGTCAGTCACGTCAGGCTTCATAGACCAAAGTCAGGACTGGGGATTTTGTGGTGAATAAAGATTAGAAGTCATAGAAGGTTTTTGGAGAAGAACAATGACATAATGTGACTTGCAGTTTTAAAGGCTGACTCTGGCTGCTGTGTGGAAAACAGACTCTAGAGAAACAGAGTAGAAGCAGGCAGACCTGTTAGGGGATCTTGCAGGAGTCCAGTTGAGAGATGGTAAGACATGATTGGATTCTAGAGATATTTTGAAGGAAGAGCTGACAAGATTTGCTGATAGCTTATTGTGGAGTACGAAAATAGGAATGAATTCGCCATTTGTTATGTTGGGGAAGAATGGAGGAGAAGAGTTTATAGGGGATGATCAAGAGTTTGGATGTTAAGTTTGAGAAGCCCATTAGGCATGCAGGTGGGCATGTTGAGAACTCAGTTAACCAGGAGTCTAGAGTTAAGAGGAGAGGTCAGGGCAGAAACATCAATGTAGCAGTTGTCGGTGTTTAGTTATGTAAGCTATGAGACTGGATGTTGCCAGGAGACTCATTGTGAGGACTTAGGAGAGTGTAGATAGAGAAGAGATTCAAGAACTGACCACGGGGATACTGCAATGATTGCAGGCCCAGATGATGAAAAAGAATCAGCAAAGGAGACAAAAAGTGTCAGGAAGAAAGGCATGAGAAGAACAAAGCAAGAGTGGAATCTGAGGAGCCAGAGGAAGGGAGTTGGAGGAGAAAAGAAGAAATACAAGTTTTCATATTGGAGTCAAGCAGCTGTGTTTTCCCAGCAGCTCTTAGTACCTGAGAAAGAGGCACAGAGAACCAGAGGGTTGAATTTCAGAGGGTTGTGTGGGAAAGAAGGTTGAGGGCATGTGGTTAGTTCCCTATTGTTCCACAACAAATTACTGCAGAGCTTAGCAGCTCAATACAACAACCATTTATTTAGCTAATAATTTTTCATGGACAGCAGTTTAGGCTGAGCCTAGCTGGGCGTGGCTCTGGCTTGAGGTAGGCTTGGCTGAGTTCAGCTGCGGTCGATCACGCATCTGTAGTCAGGTGGGCTGCCTTGTCTGGGGTTGCCAGGTAACCAGGGCCTCATGGCGCATGGCCTCTTATCCTCCAGCAGACTAGCCCCAGCTTTCCCACAAGGCGATTACAGGGTTCCAAGGGCAGCAAGAAAACAACCCCAAAGGGCAAGCACTTAAGTCTCTTCTATTATGTATTTGCTACTGCCCTATTGGCCGTAGCAAGATACATGGTCAAGTCCAAGTCAGTGTAGGAGGGGCCTTCCTAAAGCTTGGTTACAGGAAGGTGTGGATAAGTTGGGACCATTACTTCAACCATTTACCCCAGCAAGGAGGAGCCTAAGCAGAGCAGAATTGAAATATACAGAGAAAGATATATCTATTCCTGCAATAGATGATTTATCTTGCCCCATTGACTTCCTCATTCCTACGAGATCAGGACTGCATGACTTTCAGAATGGGCCTGTTAGATTACCCAAAAAGTTTTGCAAGTGAAAAATAGGGGAAACCAGTGATTTTGTGGTTATTAAGATATCTCAATATTTAAAAGTTGTTTTAAAACTGAAAGAAAATGAACATTCAGCCACTTACAGACAACCAGACAGATACTGTGGGTCCCTTTCCTTATGTAGGCTTTGATGATGCTATTTTGTTGGTCCATGATTGGGATTAACGGGCAAGGATGGAGAATCAACGACTTCCTTCACTGGGTACTTCAATGCAGTGATTGGTCATCGTTGTTCAGCAAATGATTAATCCTCACCATGAGATTTTTTTTCCAGTTTTTTTTTTTTTTTAAATTTTCAATTTTATTTTATTTTTATTTATTTAATTTTATTTTTGTTACAGATGTTTTTCCTTTTTTACCCCATTGACACCCTCCTCCCAATCCCCCCCCCGCCCCGTCCCCAGCTTTGTTGTCCATGTCCATTGGTTATGCATACATGCATATAAGTTCTGTGGTTTATCTCTTCCCACCCCCCCCTCTTCTGAGGGTTGTCAGTCTGTACCCTACTTCCATGTTTCTGGGTCTATCCTATTCCTCAGACTGTTATATTCATTATATTCCATATATAAGTGAGATCATGTGGTATTTGTCTTTTTCTGCTTGGCTTGTTTCACTTAGGATAATACTTTCCAGGTCCCTCCATGTCGTCTCAAAGGATAAGAGATCTTTCTTTCTTACAGCTGCATAGTACTCCATTGTGTATATGAACCACAGCTTTTTTATCCATTTGTCTACTGATGGACACTTGGGCTGTTTCCAGATCTTAGCTATTGTAAATAGTGCTGCTGTGAACATGGGGGTACATATATTCTTTCTGATTGGTGTTTCAGGCTTCTTAGGGTATAGTCCTAGAAGAGGGATCAGTGGGTCAAATGGAAGTTCAATTTTTAATTTTTTGAGGTAGCACTATATTGTTTTCCATAGTGGCTGCACCAGTCTGCATTCCCACCAGCAGTGTACTAGAGTCCCCTTTTCTCCAAACCCTCGCCAACACTTGTTTGATGATTTGTTGATGGCAACCATTCTGACAGGTGTGAGGTGATACCTTTTTTCCAGTTTTTATGTCCATCCATATCCTCAGAATGGAGACTATTATGTTCAATATCCCGAAATTACATCCTCATAGGTGACACTTTCAAAAAACATTTTTGTTACTGTCTGGTGAGTAGACACACGTATACATGTATCTCACTTTCTGTTTTTGACCAGACATTTTGAGTTGATGGCTCCGTGTAAATCTGTCTGTAAGCCGATGCAAAGAGTAAAGCAGAGTAGGGTTTTTCATCTCCAGAAATCTGCTCACTCACACCTTTTCTTGAAGTGAGAGGAACAGCCAGAAAAGTGTTTCAGGATCAAATGAGGGAAAGGGTATGCAAATCCTGCGAAAACCATTAAGTAATCTGCGAATGTAAAATAGATGACAAGAAGCCTTTTCCTTCCCTCTCCTGGGGACCTCGCCAAAAACCTCTTGGTCCCAACAAAGCCAGCTGGAAGAGTATGTGCCAGTAACTGAGCTTCTGAAAAGCAATCAAAGGACATGTCTTCTCCGTGTATGTGTATTTGTACTCCCAGCATTCAGCGATCAAATAGCTTTTGGATCAATAAGCTATATACCATAAATCCATGCCTTCCCTATATTTTCCCAAACTATATTCTTTAACAACCAGTAAGGTTTTATAGGAGATTCAGAGGTTATTATGGTGAAAGAGATCTATAGCGAAATAAACTGGGAAATGATGAATTAAACAAAAGGAGATGAGTTTCCTTATGACAAGACCGATCTGAGCTTTTGATGAGCTCATGTGCCCTGGCAATAGCCAAAGCAGGAGCGTAGTAAACAACATTCCCCAACTTGTACTCATCTGTGGGGCTTTGGCAAGGAACCTCCCACTTGTTCCGTTCCTGGCAGACTGCTTTATCCCGTGGCTGTGAGTGGGCATTTCCATTGTTCATGATTCTTAGGGTGCTAAAGTGCATAGACATATACAGAACCAAGAATTCTAAATTCCCCGAGATGAAGAAGGAGGAGAGAGGAGGAAGAAGAGGAGCATCCACTAGGTCAAGTGCTGCTTCCTTTTATTCCAGTAAATTTCCAGTGTAGGGGCTGGACACTATTAGGTTCTGGATCTGGACAATTGACAGTAGGTGGATATCTGCCACCTGATTGTCTCCCACAGAGGGCAAGGCAATTGGTCTTTATGCTCCGCCCACCCACACTTTGGCATGACCTAAGGCCCAAGGGAGCATGAACTCAGCAGGGGCTCTCAAGAGCTCATTTTCCCACCAGGTTCCAGAGGCCAGAGGCCAGCCCCCGAGGGAAGGCAGGAAGGCCCTGTGGCTTACCCTGTCTAAGGCATTGTAGGAGAGACAGTAAGGGAAGGTGCTCCAGCCCCTACCTGCAGGGGGCTCTGGCTCCCAGGGCTGATTTGCCACCTCCCAACCCTGCCCTGGACAGAATACTTCACTTCCTGGAGCCTCACATTTCTCACGAGCTAACCAAGGCTGATGTTGCCAAATCCGTGGGTTGTCAAAACAACGCATTAACACTTTCTAAAGCATTCAGCATTGTCCTGGGTCCACAGTAGGTGCTCCTGCTGCGGAGCTCTTGGAGAGCATGGGCGGTGTCTTGGTACCTCTACCCCTGTACACCTGGCACAATGCCCGCAGAGTTGGTGCACATAAGTATTTCCTCAATGAATGAATAGCTTAAAATGGTAGTTTCAAATGAAAGTGGTTAGCAGTTAGCACAGTTAAGAACATGTGAGAGCCCTGGCCAGTTTGGCTCAGCGGTTAGAGTGTCGACCCGCAGACCACTGAGTCGCAGGTTCAATTCCAGTTCATTCCCAACCCTGGTCAGGGTCTTGCCAGAGGCAACTAGGTGATGTGTCTTCTCACGTCGATGTTTTTCTCTCTCTCTCCTTCCTTCCCTCCCACTCTGTCTGAAAATAAATGGAGGGATATCCTCAGGTGAGGATTAGAAAATAAGAAGAACATGAGAGAGAGAATGTGTGTGTGTGTCAGAGTGAAGAACTTAATGGTGGGGTGACTTCACCTTTAGTAGTCAAGTTCTATTCTGTAAAGAGAATAGCCAAAGAGAACCATGATTCATACATGTCCCTGAAGATGCCACGTGAATCAAGCACTTGGCAACACTCTCCACAGTGCTGTGTTTTAATAAGGGGGCATGTTTAAAACCGTTCCCATAGTCACTGGGGGCTGATGGAAAAGAGATGGGAATTGAGGGCTGTGCTCACTGAACTTCTCTGCAGAGCGAAGCGCCAGTAAATGCTCTTTGGAATAACCGGCTACTTGACCCATGCTGCAGTATGGGTTCTTTTTTATTCCCAAACCATTTCTTCTTTGTGGATAAAACCGGAAAGAAAGGCTACAGACATAAACTGTGCAAATAAAATAACCTTGAGAGGAGGCTGCTCTAGTTGAAACTTACCATCTCCCTGTTGCTATGGTTACCTCCAGCAGGTCGCCCAGTGAGAATGGCTCTGTCATCAGCAACGAATCAGGGAAGCCCAGCTCGGGGGGGCACTCGCCCCAGAATGTAATGGCACAGCAGAAAGTGACAAAGGAGGAGGCACGGAAGAGGAATGGTGAGAAGCCTTCCCTGCCAAGCACCACCCCCAAGCCCGTCCCACACACGCGTGAAACATAGACCTGCACACACTCACACACACCAGTGTGCTTTCACTCTTAGTTCTTTCGTGCATCCTATAAAGGCCAGGAATCAGTTTCCTGCCTACCTGTTAGGGTATCACCTTACCCCTTTCTTTGAATTATTCTGCCCCCTGTTCTAATGGGATGGTGTAGGGCCTTAAAAAAGGCTCCATGCAGAATGATCGGGTGTTTGCTTAGAGGTTTTTCTAATTCTGGGGTGAATCAACATTTCTAGCACCAGGTCTTCTTGGGTGGCAGGTCTCTGAAACTCTGCTGGTCTTGTAGGTTCCCCTCATTTTCTTGCCCTGACTCCCTGATACTTTTCTGGGGTCCAGTCTTGGCCAGTGAGTCCAGATGTTGCAAATCCACCTCCCCCAGGGAGAACAGCACAGTAATAAATGTCATCGTAGACATCAGCCTATGCTTCTGCCTTGATTCTCTAGGACAACTTAACTGTTGAGTGTCTCAAGCAGACCTTCTCCCTCTTTAGAAAGGTTTGGTGTTGGGGTTTCTTGATAAGTCCTCAGAGCTGCCTGGCTGTGCTGTGGCACCATCTGTAGCTCACACCTGTTGGACACCATGTGCAGCCCTGAGCTCCCCATCCCACCTTTGTTCTGATCCTCCTCTCCACTCGGTCCTTCCGCGGATGACGCTGGCTTCCTGGAGCCCAGGTTCAGGTGCCCAGGGCTGCCACTCAGATCAGAGAAAGTCTCTTTTGAACTTCAAAGGTGGTGTAGGCAGAGTCCTACAGAAATGCCAGGGCAAAAGCCAGATGACCCGGTAGTCTGCTGAGTGTGCTTCCTTTTAAAAGGAACTGGATGAAGTGTGGCTCGGGGACTCTCTCTCGCAGGTTGTGCCAGAACATTCTTTTGTTTTCAAATGTCACTTGCTTATTTCTTTTTCTTCTGACAAAAGGAGAAAGAAAGAAAAGAAATGATGGCACAATGGATTTACCTTCTTCTACAGGGAGAGTGTGGATCCCATTCCCAGCAGTTACATAAAACACTTGTATGAACTATCGTTCTGTTTGAGCCTAACATTTTTCCTTCTCCTGAATTCCTCATGCCCTGTAACATGGAGAGGGTGCTTTCCACAGCAGAATCAGGGTGTGACGTGTGGGGTTTTCCTGGGATGTCTGTCCTCCGTAGGACCACCAGAAACCCTGCCCATCAGCTCTCTGGCGAGCCAGCTCACAGAGGACCAGAGCTCTGATAGGTGAAGGGGGATGTGAACTTGGCAACTTTCTGGTCTTCCTTCCCAGAGTGAGGTGCTAGGAGAGATGGGCAGGTGGACAGTGAAGGCACAGGGCAAGCTGTTTTAACTGAGCCCCGAGACTGCCATGGCACCTAACCAAGGGGCCCTCCCTGCTTCCCCTCCCTCCCTCCCTCCCTCCCTCCCTCCCTCCCTCCCTCCCTCCCTCCCTCCCTCCCTCCCTCCCTCCTTTCCTTCCTTCCTTCCTTCCTTCCTTCCTTCCTTCCTTCCTTCCTTCCTTCCTTCCTTCCTTCCTTCCTTCCTTCCTTCCTTCCTTCCTTCCTTCCTGGAAATATGTCAAGTCAAAGTCCACCCTCCCCTAGATGCCCCTCCATCCACCCTAGTCCTCAAATGACCTTGAACAACTTAGTGTGTCTTTCTCAGCCCTTTTTATTATGCATGTAACAACACACCCGTATCTGTTTTTATTGTATAGCTTTGTTTTATTTTATAAAATGGGATCAACGTACATACTGTTCTATTACCTTTTTCATGCATGAGAATGTGCAGAATACAGACTCCTCTGTCAGTAAATTCACAGTTACAAGAAGATGCCTTCCCTGCCCCTGCATTTAATTTGGAGACAGGGAGGGAGCAGGGCCAGTTCCAGACCCGTCGCCCCCCACCCTCGGGGGAGACGCTGACATGCTCCAAATCTTCTGCTGACCTTACCCTTCTTATTTGGCCACCCTCTCTGCTGCCTCCTTATTCTGTTTAGGTCACTTTGATTTTTTAAATATCAGGTTCAGAAATAACAGCAGGGTGCACAGACAAAATGCAGTTACTGTATGGGGTTGAAGTTTTAATGCGTTTGTTTTATTAAAAAGCCACTCTTTCTCCGGTTTCCCAGGGTTTCACTGCACTGTCTTCTTTTTTTTTTTTAATTGATTTTTTTCTTTATTGATTTTAGAGAGAGAGGAAGGGAGAGGGAAAGAGAGGTAGAAACATTGATGAGAGAGAATATTGATTTGCCGCCTCCTGCACGCCCCCCACTGGGGATTTGGCTCACAACCTGGACGTGTGCCCTGACCGGGAATTGAACCTGCGGCCTCCTGATGCCTGGGTCGACACCTAACCACTGAGCCACACGGCCGAGCTTCGCTGCACTTTTTGCCAGAAGTGAACACAGTGAATTTTCGGGTGTGGCCGCTTCTGTTTCACCATTAGTTCCCATTCAGTGAGGTTTCCGTTTGAATTTTTCAAATAGAAATGATAGAACCAACTCATTTAATTAATGTAAACAGATGCTGAAGCACGTCGGAATTCTAGAGTGGACCTTCAGTGGAACCTACAGACCTACACTTGTCTTTTTTGTTGTTGTTGTTGTTAATCCTCACTGAAGGATATTTTTTCCATTGAATTTTTTTTTTAGATAGCGTGGAAGGGAGGAAAGGAGGGGGGGAGAGAGAAAGAGAGAAACATCGATATGAGAGAAACACATCGATTGGTTGCCTCCTGCATGCACCCCTACTGGTTCTGGAGATTGAACCTGTGGCCCAGGTATGTGCCCTTGACTGGGAATTGAACCTGTGACCCTCTGGTGTATGGGCCAACACTAACCACTCAGGAACACTGGCCAGGGCTACACTATACTGTCCTTTTTATCAAAGGGCTCCACTTTATCATAATGCTAGGTTAGAGTTCATCAAAAATAAAATCAGTACTGTATTTTTATTTTATTGGATTGGAGGAAGGAAGGAAGGAAGGAAGGAAGGAAGGAAGGAAGGAAGGAAGGAAGGGAGGGAGGAAAGAAGGAAGGGAGGGAGGGAGGGAGGGAAGGAGATTGAATGGAATTGTGGAGAAAACAAAAAGATATCAGATTGTCAGCTTACAAAAGGTATTTTATTGTGTGACTGTGGCCTCTGACAATAGACTAGTGGTACGGAACATTCAGATACTGTTGTTTTATGGCTCAGTATCCATTCTAGAGGTTAGATTACTAAGGTTAGTTAATAAATGTTAATGTACCAGGTTGTTATTTTTAAACTATTCTTATTTCCCACTAGTTTTGTTGCATTCGTAGGCTCTGATTTTCCACTTTTGTGAAAATAAGAATTTTGAAAGGGAAAGACTATCCCTCTAGCAACAGGGCCGGGGTGGGTGACCCTTCGAGCTCAGGGGCCTCCCTAGCTACTGTAGCTGCAAGGCTGCTTTGAAGTCTATTTCAGGACCATCCTTAAATATAAGTGGAAAGATAGAGGTGAGAGCTAGAATTTTGAAAGCAAAATAATTTGAACTTTTTTCAACCAAATATAGACGCTTCAACTTCTGAATTAAAACCAATGTCACCTTGGAAAATGTGTTTTCCAGGAAAAGGGTCAAAAATGAGTTCCAGATGAGAACATACAATATATATATAAGTCTTCAGTCATTTATGAACAAAAAGCCCCATAAACCTTTCAGGGTGCGCCTTCCTTTAAGTCACTGAGATTTCACTGCCAAGGCTCAGAATCCGATCAGACCTTGCCTCCTGCTGGTCGTGGAGCAACGGGGCTGGAGGAGGACGAGAATCTGAGACTGCAGAGGACGAATTACCACTTTCGTAGCAGGGGCCCTTGAGGACGTGTCAGAGATATTAGCTCAGAAGCAGTTTCCGGTTTAATTCTTTCTTTGCCTTCCCAGTGAGGTGAAGACTTACTTGCCTGTTACCTGATAAACAACAGCAGAGGGTAGTGATGCTAGTTATACGTTGTCTCTGAGCTTTCATGGAAATTCCAGAAAGAGAGGGCATGCTTTGTTGAAGAGCATTTTCTGCTTCAAATGGGAGCCCTGCCCTGCATTCCAGTTTAAATATAAAGAAATAAAATCTCCCTTCCTGGCCTAATTTGCAGAAGTTCAAACCAACATTGCAACTAAGACGCAACCAGATCCAGATGGTGGCATTTACTGGCGATGGTATCTGGGCCACTTCCGTAGTGTAATTGTGGCCCTTTTGTTTAGCGTTCTCTCGCATTTTTTCTTTGGGGACTAATTATGCACTAAGTATGTCCATGAACCTGCTGTACACACACAACATTTTAGTATTAATATTTAATGTGATGTCCTATAATGTATTTTCCTGTATAGTCTTTTTGGGGGGGAAGACAACTAATTATTTTTCTCTTAAACGTAGAGGACTTATTATACAAGTCTGAATAGGACCATTTTGAGAGTGAGAATATAAACGAGTTGTAGTTATTACAGTTTCTGGGGCATCGCCCTTAAAAGAGACTGGAGCTTATATTCTAGTGGCAGGGGCGGGGCGGGTGACATCAGTTCACAAATCAGTGTACTAAATGCTATGAAGAAAATATAGCAGGGTGATGAGGCAGGGTATTTTAGACTGGGAGACAAGGAAAGTCTTTTTCAAGCTGCAACTTGAAGACTAGGCAGGAACTAGCCATGTAAAGATCTGGGGAAAGAGCTTTCCGAGCAGAGGAAACAGCTAATGTAAAGTCCGGAGGTGGGAAGAAGCCTGATGTGTTCGAGGAGGCTGCTGCAGCTGGAGAGTGGGTACAGGGGAGAGGCAGGATGAGCTCGGCAAGGTGGCCAGGACCAGCTGTACGGAACCTTGGTGGCCACACTAGACTCTGGGTTTTATTCTGAGAGACATGAAGCTTTCGGAGGGTTCTGATTGAAGGAGTGCTGTGATCTGGTTGCCTTTTGAAAAGATGATGCATCCTGGCTGCTGGTGGAGTACGTATTTTAAAAGTAGGAGGACAAGAGTAGAAGCTTGGAGGAGGGGAGTTGTTTAGGAGGTGTATTAGTTATTTATTGCTGCATAACAAATTACCCCAACACCTAGTGACCGAAAGCCACAGTCTACATTTATTGTGTCACTAATGTCTGTAGGTCAGGAATTCAGGAGTGGCTTAGCTGGGTAGTTTGGCTCAGAATTTCATGAGGTCACAGTCCAGGCTGTGGTTATCTAAGTTTGGCTGGGCTGCAGAACCCACTTACCAGCTGGTTCATTCATAGCTGTTGGCAGGTGTCTCAGTTTCTTGCCACATGGTCCTCTCCTTAGGGCTACTTGAGTGACCTCATAACATGGCAGCTGGCTTTTCCCAGAGTAAGGGATCCAAGAGAGAGCAAAGTGGAAGCCACAATATTTTAATGACCTAGCCATGGAAGTAACAAACTGTCATTTCTGCAATTTCTTTTTTGTTACACAGGTCAGTCCTATTTATTGTGTCTGTGACTCTGAGGAGGTGAGAATTACTGGGTGCCATCTGGGAGTCTGGCTACCATTGATGGCTTTCATAGCAAGTGTCCAGGTGGGAGGTCATGATGGCCAGGCAAAGGTTGCCCAGCAAAACTCCACTCTAAAAAGATACGTGCATCTGGTAACATGTCTGGGTGGAGATTGTTGGCTCTCATTGGCTGCTTAGTGGACTATTTGCAAATAAGCCCACAGAACCAAAAAACGACTCCAATTTTAGCCATTGTTAGACTCTGAGGTGGTTCAGCCACCTTGTGCAATAACAGTTTTTACTTGGCTTAATTTGACAAATCTTCCGTGATTATGATAAGTGACAGAATGATACAAACTATGCGTTTCTCAATAATTTAAATAACATTCCAATCTCTTGAGCAGACAGGAGGAAAGATAAATATCTTCCTATTACATTCATATATTAATAACACCTGTTTTGCTCCTAAATTGCCTACTGGTTTAGTTGTGTGAACAGACTTAATTTATCTCTTACCGAGTCACGCTTAATAAACTGTCATTCTTATAGGCCCTTAATGGGAACATGCTTTAAGGACAAGTAAATCCACAGACAGGCTGGTGTCTTTCAGCAATCACAGTGGAGTTATCAGTCAGAGGCAAGAATGCATTTAAAAGGGCGCACGTGAAAATTGCTCTATTTAATTAGGGGAGTTGTCTGTAGCTTTAAATTAGTTTCTCTGGTGGTTATGTCTTAGCTTTCTTTTGTTTTAGACAAACGAAAGAAATGAAAACCCAAATCACTGAGAAGCAGCCTTTCAACAGAAAAAAAAAATAGTAAATTGTCAGCTGCAGTTACTGTGACGGGGGAAGACTCGCCACCTTAACATCGTGCAGAAATGGGTGGCTCTGGAGGCAGAGAGCGAACTGGACGCTGTTGTTCGGTTGATTGTCATAGTTTAAGAGCGGTTCCAGGTTTGGCCAAATTGCATTTTATCCATCTCTGACTCAAACTTGGAGAACAAAATTTTACTTTTTTTTTTTAAGAAAAGCATTTGTCACAAGTTTGAAAGAACAGTTTTTTACCATTTAAATTCAGACCTTTAAAATTCTCTCCTACCCATGAATAACGCAGCAGAGGGCTGAGTAGCGCGGGTCTTAAACTGTAAAAGCAGCGCACGCAGCAGGGAGCCCTTGGCGCAGCCCCAGACGCTGCTGTTCCTCAGGTCATTCTGAGCAGAGTAATGTCCTTAGGCTGTGAACGGTCCACATAAATCCCCCCATGATCGTGCAGCTCCCCTACGGCCATAAAACCAATGTGTTTATTTGTTCTTCAGTGCCAGCGAGTGATGAAGAGGAAGGAGCAGTTCTTTTCGACAACTCCGGCAAGGCAGCTGCCGACCCTTTCGACACGTCCTCTGGGTCTGTGCAGCTCATCGCAATAAAACCCACAGCCCTCCCCGTGGTGCACCCCACCCCGGACCGCAGCCAGGAGGCTGCGGTGCTCAACGGCGAGGTGAGCGCCCAGCACCCAGAGCGGGAGAGGGCCAGGGCAGCCGGAGCACCCCTGGGAGTGCGGGGGCAGGCTCATCCAGGTACACAGGGCTCTCCGTCACTTTACCTCTGCATGCACAGGCTCAGAGGAAGGAATCAGGATACAAGTCACCCAAAACGAGTTTGTTGGGTGATGTTTTTAGAGCATTTTTTAAAACCTTCATGAGAAAGCCCCAAGGGGGCTTTTTAAAAACTGTAGTTATGAAGAGAAACATCAGAAATTCTTCCCCACATACACATACAGTCTTCTACCTTTCTTGGTAACACTCCTAAACTGTTGGTTATGGATGTCAATTGTAGTGGGGACGGGAGGGACTTAAAGTGAGAGGGAACTGGAGAGGATACTGTCATTCAAACGGGTGTGGCCCACTATATAGGCTTTGAAATGACTTTTACTCCTTTGAGCAAGCTTGAAACAACCCTTTGCCTACTTTCAGAAGGATATCTATGGATATCATGTGGTCATCAATTTTCCCAAGAGTCTGAAAAATATTGTAACATACATGGAGAATGATGACTTCACAAAGAAAAACAGATGGATGGACTGGTGGGTGGGTGGGTGGGTGGGTGGGTGGGTGGATGGATGGATAGATAGATAGATAGATAGATAGATAGATAGATAGATAGATAGAGGCAGTGTAGAAGAGAACAAGAGAGCAAGTGAGGTAAATATCTGCCATTCCTCCACCTTCTGCAGCAGAATGGTCAGTGGGCTAAAGATGTAATGAACCTTTAAACACATGCATACGGAACCTGAATGTGAACATTTACATTTCACATGTGTTGTACACATACACATACTTACTTTTAAAAAACAAGCCAGAGAGGTTAAGTGACCTGTTCAAAGTCACACTGCAGGTTATTGTGACGTCCATGATGTTCAGGTCCCCTGGCTCCCTGTCCAGTGCTCCTTCCCTCTCTTTGACTTACTGTGGCCCATCAGTGAAAAATAGCATTGCACGTAAAAGACTACTGACTCGCGAGATGTGCTGCAAGGATTGGAATTTCAGCTCTTCTCCTTACTATCTGTGTGCATTTCGCTGTGCCTCAGTATCTCTATCTGTAAAATGGGGCTGTTGTGAGGATCACAACACTTATAATAATGTAAAACACTTAGAAGTGCCTAGCACTCAGTAAGCTATCATCATCATCATCATCATCATCACTCAGCCAATGAGCAAGGATTCGTTGGTCATATACTTTATGCCCCTTGGCTCTGTGATTTGGGAACTGGTATATTTTCTCATGCCAATCACGCCCACTGAATCTTTCCTTAGGCACATTTCTGTCACCAGACATGCAGCCCAATGATTAGAGCCTCTGAGATGGTCACTAATGCTCTGGTAACTGCTTCTGATTAGGACCCTCTGCCCAGTTATGGACCCAGGTAAGGGTCGCCATGCCTAGATCACTTCATCCCAGCTTAGTGATATAAATGTCACAGGAACCGATTCCAAATCTCAACTAAATTCAATTTACTGCTCTCGTTTCCTGCCAAGTCCATCACCCTGTCACGGAAGGAGAAGAATAAGCATTTTCTCTGTCCAGAAACGGATACCTGTCACATTTTTGGTAGTTAAAGGAATGGACCTTGCTGGCATTACGATTGGAAAAGAGCCCTGAAGTGTCCTCTGTAATTTACTGCCTTGTGGAGTTTAGACAAATTATCATATAATGTTTTTTCCCTTCTCTTCTGGGTGACTTGTTTAAATGAAGAAAGCACAGCCCCAAACCCATAAATTTTTCTTTTATGTGTTACAGTACATTCTTGTAAAGGTTATTTTAAAGAAAACATAACAGCATAGAAAGTTCAGAAAATAAGAGGAAAATCACTCTAAGTTCACTACCCAATCCTATCCTCCGTTTTCATTCTTACATCTCTCTTCAAACTTTCCATCAAACTCATGCATATTTTAGAATCTCATCATCTTGAATGTTAGGCATTTGCTGTGTTGCTATTGTTGGGCTGATGGTCATTTCTAATGACGTCATTGAGAAGGTATGCCATCGACTGGAAAGCTCTTCTCCCCTTGTTCAAACCTCCCAGGGATTCTTTGGTTTGGGTTTTGGTTATTATAAACATCACTTCAATGAATAATTTCATATATGACTTTTTAAAACTTTTTATTTTGAAATAATTTTAGACTTAAAAAGTTTTAGTAATAGTACAGAGTTCCTATACAGTTTTTAAAATTATTTTATTGATTGATTTTTTTAAAGAGGGAGAGAGAGGAAGGGAGAGAGAGAAAAAGAAAAAACACACAAAGAAACATCGATTTTGTTGTTCCACTTAGCTAGGCATTCATTGGTTGGTTCTCACATGTGCCCTGACGGGATCAAACACACGACCTTGGGGTATCCGGACACATCTTACAGAACCATACAATAATGATCATACCTAGGAAATTGACATTGGTGCAATACTATTGATTAATCTACAGACCTCTTTTGAGTTTCACTAGTTTTCCCGCTGATGGCCTTTTCCCATTTCGGGATCCAGCCAAGGATGCCACATGGCATTTCATGTCTCCTTGGTCTCCTCCAGTCTGGGATAGTCCCTCAGTCATTCTTTGTGACTGTTCTTTTTGTTTCATGACCATTCCTCTTGTGAAGACTACTGGCTACTTCTCAGGTAGAATGTCTCTCAATTTGGGTTTGTCCAATGTTTTCTTAAGACTGGATTGAGGTTATGCATTTTTTTTTGAGTACCCACGGGAGTGATGTGCCCTTTCATGGGCATCATATCAGGAAGTGCCTGATCTTGATGTGTCTCATTACTGGTGATGGTAACTTTCATCCCTGACTTTGCACCTCTCGTGCAATGTTGCTTTGGCTGAGATGACAGAAACGGGCTCCCAGCTCAGAGGATGTTATGCTAACTTCCTCTCTTCACTAGTTTCCCACTGGCAAGCAGAATGAACGAACAATGAAGACCTGTGAAATTCTACCAGCCTAAAAATATTATTAGGACCCTGGTCAGGGAGATTGTTGTGAAAGTTAGAAAAAATAGGTCCTCCAGTTATTGTTTCTTCAAGTGTTGTAAAACTAAAATATCTAAGATAGTGAACCTTGGTCCTCATATTGTGTAGGTTGATATTTATCTTATCATTGGGTGAATTTTTCTTTTATGAATTACAGAAAATTCTTTTAAAGGTCATTTTAAAGAAAACATAATAACAATACTATCTATGGTTATATTAATGTAGTTAAGTCTGATTACAAACAGCACTAACGGTTCTCTGTATCATCCAGTGTCAGGCAGATTTCACCATTCAGTTCCATTTATGGGTATAATATCCTCGTTGTTTGTTATTTATTTAGCATAGTCATCTGCTTGTATATTTGGCAGGTCAGAAGTTATGTTGGGCCGTGTTCCTTTCTAGAAGACCATACTGGTTTTGCCCTTGAGAGAAGGAACTGGTTGGCATTAGTGGCCATCCAAGGCTTCAGAATTTCCTGTCTCTTGAGAAAAATGTAGATTCCCAACAATAAGCTTTCAAATGCAGATGGATAGAGTGGAGAGACCCTGGGAGCAGGGTGTCTGCTGCTCATTCCCACCCCACCCATCTCAATTCAGCCTCTTCAGGAACTGGCTGTCTTATCCAGCTAAGCACCAACTGAATGGCCCAAGGGAGACCACTGGGTTCCTGAGGGTTGAAGCTAGATTCAGGCAAGTCAGAGGCTCTTAGACAAGCGGACCAAAGGGGTGTAGGCGGTATGATGGCCCACACCACAAAGCTAAAAGCGTGGACTCTGGCCGAGGTCTGAGCAGACTCAAGTAGATTAGGGAGAAGGAGGCCTTGATGGAAGGTCTCAGGCAGCTTTGGTGAGTGCCAGACTCCACGTTGTTTGTGGCCCATTGCTGTGGGCTAGTCTTGGAACGGATCACCGTTGGGTATGGCCAGCTCAAAGGCCCAGACGTGAAGCCTAGGAGTACTTCTCCTGGAGCTGCGACCCTCTGATGGAAGCCTCACCTGTCGGCCGTACAGGGTCAGGTGATGGAAGCCACACCTGTCGGCCGTGCAGGGACAGGTGATGGAAGCCTCACCTGTCGGCCGTGCAGGGTCAGGTGATGGAAGCCTCACCTGTCGGCCGTGCAGGGTCAGGTGAAGGAAGCCTCACCTGTCGGCCGTGCAGGGTCAGGTGATGGAAGCCTCACCTGTCGGCCGTGCAGGGTCAGGTGAAGGAAGCCTCACCTGTCGGCCGTGCAGGGTCAGGTGATGGAAGCCTCACCTGTCGGCTGTACAGGGTCAGGTGTGGGCCTGAGACTGTCTCTCTCTCCAGGTGAACAAAGCCCTGAAGCAGAAGTCAGACATCGAGCACTATCGGAACAAGCTGCGCCTCAAAGCCAAGAGGAAGGGGTATTACGATTTCCCTGCTGTGGAGACAAGCCAGGCTCAGACGGAAAGAAAAAAGATGTACGAGAAAGCCCAGAAGGAAATCGAGCACGTGTTGGATCCCGACCCAGAATTGTGCGCCCCGTTTGCGGAGTCTAAAAACAGGTGCGGTCTACAAAGGGATTCTCTGAGGGCCGCTGTGGCACTGGTGGGCTGAAGACAGAGGGCGCCTTGGGCACTACAGTCCCGGTGCCTGGATCTGTCAGCTTAGGACTGTCTTCTTTGAAGGCTGCTGAACCGGCCATGCTGTTCTTGTGGGAGCACGTGCTCCATAATGAGTCTGGAGGAGAATAAAATTGAAACCATTAAAAAATGCTTGGGCAAACAACCATAATTGTCCTTTAGCTTAACGACATTTTCAAACTTTAGCTGTTTCAGAGCTGGGTGAAGATATCATTATCACCTACCTGGTTATGCAACTTCGAGATCAAGGGACATGGGTATTTTTCAATTATTTTAGAGGCTCTTGCATAAGAAAAGCAAATTTCACGCCTCACCTTTTCACTGAACTTCAGTAAGTATTTACTATGTAGCTGCTCAGAGCTCCGTGCTGGGTTCATCTCTCTAATTCATAGATTTGTTCATGTATTTGACATTTACTATTACCTACAATGTATTCTCTGCCATGCACAAAGCTGAATACTTTCACGGTCGTGTTGCCTTTTCTCATTCATTTATTCACTCATTCATTCAATCAATTCAACATTTTATGGTAGACAAGACAGCCCAATTGCTGCTCTTATGGAGTTTAAGGTCCGAATTGGGAGAGAAAGGTAACCATCTCAAGTGTGATGGGAGTTTGAAATGTGAGGTCTATGAGTGGGACCAGGCCTTCGGAGGGGAGGTTAGGCCTAGTGGTTTGAATTAGCATCCTTTCTAAGCTTTGTTGCCAGCGAAGCACAGAGTGACCTCACCTACTGGGTAAAGGCACAGAGGTTTTAGCAAAGCTGTGCATCCCCAGCTGTCTTCTTTTCCTCCCCACCCCGAAGCACTTCTTCAGAACTTTTTCATAATTTGAGACCATCTCTTTCAAATGCACCTTCTCCTTGGTGACAGCCCCTTGGCTTATAGCATGCCAATGCTTCGACCCACCCCATAGCCTGGGCAGCCGCACTCTCCACAGACTGGGAGGGACGGGACAGTTCCCTGCCTGAGTGGCAGGCTTGGATAGAAGCCGCAAAGTCCTGCTGGGAGGTGGAGCTAAATTTTATGAATGGAATGAACATCATTTATTTTCAACAAAGAAATGAGAGATTTCTAAACCAGTGCGTTGTTTATCAACCGTCTAATTAGGCTTGGTGAGGATAACAAGCTATTGATGTGAAATCTCAATGTGACAGGAACCTCAATGCAGGTAACTGTAGAAAGAAGAGAAATAAAAAAGATTTTATGGGGAGGCTGAGGGCTTCCTTAGCTTTTGCTTTGCACTTGAAGACTTTTTTTACTCCAGCCGACTTTTATTGACTGGGAGTGAAGTTGTTTTTTCTGGGTTTCTTGCTGACACTCGGAAGATGAATCAAAGATCATGTGCAAATAAGAAGAACTTAACTTGGAAGCTATTTGAGAAATAAATTAAATTTTCAGTTAGGGCTTAAAATTTTTTTTTAAATTTTTTCAGTTAGCTTCAGGTGTACAGTATAGTCGTTAGACATTTATTTATATAACTTGCAAAGTGAACCCCCTAATAAGTCTACTACCCATCTGGCATCATACGTAGTTATCAGTATTGCTGACTGTATTTTCTGTGCTGTGCATTCCCATGAATACTTTGTGACCACCAATTTGTACTTCTTTTTTTTACTTTTTCAATCCTCACCTGAGGATATTTTTCCATTTTTTGTTGTTCAGACAGAGTGGGAGGGAAAGAGACAGAAACATCAATGTGAGAGAGACACATCGACTGGTTGCCTCCTGCACGACTCTGACCGGGGCCGGGAATGAACCATAACTGAGGTACGTGCCCTTGACCAGAATCGAACCTGCGACTCATTGGTCTGCGGGCCTATGTTCTAACCGCTGAGCCAAACTGGCCAGGACCCAATTTGTATGTCTTAATCCCTTCACCCTTTTTACCCAGTCCCCCACATCCCCTTCCATCTGGCAATCATCAGTTTGTTCTCTGTATCTGTGAGTCTGTTTCTGTTTTGATTGTTCATTTATTTTGTTTTTCAGATTCCACATATAAGTGAAATCATGGTATTTGCCTTTCTTTGTCTTACTAATTTCACTTAACATAATACCCTCTAGGTCCATTCATGCTGTCGTAAATGGTAAGGTTTCATTCTTTTTATGGCCAAGTAATATTTCGTTGTATAGATGTACCACATCTCTATCCATTCGTCTTTTGATTGGAGCATTTAATCCATTTACATTTATTTATTGATAGGTATGAATGTACTGCCATTTTATTGTTTCTGATTGCTTTTGTCGTTCTCTGTTTCTGTCTTATTCTCTTGCTTTCTTCTCCTGTATGGCGATGGCTTTCTGTAGTGTTGTGTTGGATTCTTTCCCAGCTGAGGCTTTTGATAAGGAGAATGAACAAAACTCTTTTCCTACAGAGGTCATCTCTGCTGCCTAGCATAGGTTCAGGCCAGACCCTTAAGGCCCTTTGATGACCTGCCGATCTCTGAATGTGTTGTCGATTCTCAGTAAGTGTCTGTTAAAGAAATAACAGTGGCTCTCAAGCACCAAAAATAATATTACATTATTTTTACTACAAATCAAGCGAGGTGAGAATAGGAATAGAGATGAAGCTAGCAAGTGATGGGGTGGGGAGGGAAAGCTTAACAGAGGAAAAGAGAGTGACAGAGACTCAGTGAGCTCCGACGTGTTATCTTGTCACACTCTGCGGTCGGCTCCGGAGGCTGCCCACTGTGTGTGATCAGTCGTCACAGGTTAGAGTTGCCTGTTAATTGCTATTTACAGTTCAACTCTCCAGAACTTCTGCTCTCAGTGACCTGTTCCACGTGAGGGACAGGTGAACTATTGTTTAGTCCAGAGGCAGCATTGGTAACCAGAACTTTACCCTGAGACCTAAATAAATCAAATAAAAGACAAAGTTTAGATTCCAAATGTTGACTCATCCTGAACTCTTTTGAAAGCGTTTTCACAGGTTTTCTTTACAGTCAGGAGAATACCCCATTTTTATGTTATCAACTCTTACCCAGAGACACAAAGTATGTAATCCAACTGAGGCAGACACTGTCAGAGGGCAGCCCCCACCTCACCCCCACCCATAGGTCCCCTTGGCTCCCACTGCACCCATACAGGCCTTAGGTCCTTCTTCCTGGGAGCACCTATGACTCTAACTTGAGGGCTTTTACTCGGCAACCCCAGCCGGAGGTGTCAGGTAGTTAATGTGCCTTGCAGCAGACTCTGTCACTGACACGTGAGGAGAACCTCAAGGTGTAAGCTACACTGTTGTAATAGCCACATTTTCTATTTTCTGTATCTGATGATTTGACATGTGGGGCCTTGCTGACCCTGGAGGAAATGCCCCTCCCAGGTGGTCTAGCCAATTCTCAGAAAGGTAAGGGCTCACCTGCAAGTACACCATCCGTAAGCAAATCAAAAAGCAGAGCCCTATGTCCGTCCCCTTTACACAGGGCCCTCACACTCTGGTCCCCATCCCCCTGTCCTAATCACTTCAGCCAGGTGCCACGCAACTAGGGACAGCCCCTTGGTCCCAGAGTCTGCTGAAATTATTCAAACGATCCAATCCTAAACCTACATACCCGGCTTTGCCCGTTCCTTCCCGCAAAACCACAATAAAGGCTCTGGCCCACATTGTCCCCTCACTCCCTCTGCCTTGTGACAGACCCTGGTGCTCCCCACGGGCCCTCTGCGGTGGGCATGCCCCTGGGGACCTCCGAGTATAACAAGCTGCCTTGGTGGCAGTCATCTCCTGAGCTGTCGCTGTTGCCACACCTGAATAAAAGAACACCTACATTTTAAAACAACTTCCTCCCACACTCTTCCAGTGAGCTTGAGGCCCCTGTCTAATCTGCTCTATATCACACCCTTTACTGGCTTCCTCCCTTCCCCTCTCGCGTCCCTACTTCCCAACGTGTGTGTCCCGGAACCCTCTCCCAAATAAATCACTTGAGCTTAAACCATTACAAAGACTACATCTGGCAGAACCCTACCTAAGGCAGTAACTTACAAAGACAGAGTTGCTCTGATGGAAGCAGGGCCTCCTCCTCCTCCTCCTCCTCCTCCTCCTCTTCTTCGGATGGAGGACTAGATGGCTCCAGTCCATCTTTAAGGAACCCTAGGGTCCCATAGAACACACTTTGGGAACTACTTTCTTCAACTATAGTGGGATTAAAAAGCCCCTAAAAATCCAAATAAAGTTGATCATTACATACCCTGTATTTTCAGAGGTAAAAACTTACTTCTCAAGTTCTCAAGTTTCTACATGTGTTAACTTATAAAGAATATAGCAACAAACCAACAAGAAATGAATACAAGAAATGAAACTCTGTTTAATTAAAGTAAGTCATCTCTCTAAAGCACAGAACTTTTATGCATGTATGCATAACCAATGGACAACAAAGCTGGGGACAGGGCGGGGAGGGAGGGGGAGGAGGGTGTCTATGGGGGAAAAAGGAGAAACATCTGTAACAAAAATAAATAAATAGAATTTGAAAAAAGAAAACACACACACAATAAGTTATCTCTCTACCTGAGAGCCCAATTATTTCTAAGTAGTTTCTTGCACACCACGCACCCTGACGGTCTGGTCGATCGAGATCCATGCTGAACAGCAGCTTCAAGTGATGTATCAAAATGGAGCGTGGTCTTTGCCCGCAAAGGAGGCTGCGGTGCACCTGGTGCCTGAGTGCTCACCCGCACTCACGCTTCTCGAAGGGGCTTACACAATCTCACAATTGTACTTCCAAATAATCTGCCTTACTAATCCTGTGTGTTATCCACCCCCCTCCCCTATTAGTAAGTCTTTTCTAAATAGGCTAATTGGCAATCTCGGGACAGCTGTGAAATCTGTTTGTAATTAGGTCAAAGACCAATCAGTGTGACCATGGAGATGTGATGCTGTGGGGCCTCTCTTGAAGTGTGCATCACTCAGAATGGATTCTGTTCTACATAGTGGTGTCCCGTTCCTAAGGGAAGCTTCTCATGGCAGGTGACTACAGGCACGGTTTGCTATTGTCAGTTTAAGCTCTTCTATTAGTCAGCATTCTGTTGGTTGCAAGTGATAGAAATCCAGCACGAATCGGTTAAATAAAAAGGTACTTATTATCGAACGTAATTGAAAAGGCAAGGCTTCCGCCGAGGCTAGATCCAAGGGATCATACAATGTCTCTCATAGTTCTCTTCCTCTCTCTTCACTCTTTGCGGGCTCCTTTTCAGGCAGGCTCTTACCTCACAGTGGCACATTGGCTGCCAGCCCCTCTAGAAACCTCAGTGCCAAGAGAATGCCTGTTTCCTGGGTGCTCTAGAAGTCCTGGAACTCAGTGTCATTGGACCAGCTCGTGTACCCACCCTCTGACCAATCAGTGTGACCATGGAGATGTGATGCTGTGATTATGCAGCCTGAGTCACATGCCAACCCCCAGAGGAAGCAAATGCCACCAAGAATAGCATATGGGTACCAGGCAAGCAGAGAACACAGATGCTCCGTAAATAGGTGTAAGCAATTCATGGTGAGGGAGTAGGTTTATCAGTGTCTGTTTCATTGCCGAGGCTAATTGCAAGGGTAGTGTTTTACCTTGGGAGTTCTAATGTCCGTTCTGGACTAACAGGGTATGGCTGTTGTGCTTTGACTAACGGATATGTGATCATGAAAAGGCATGTGTACCTGCCAGGTTTCTGGTTTCCCACATAGCCAATGGGAATAAATAATGCAACCTTTTCACCTTCAACCCGTGAATGGTTAGAAGGTTAGTACCTAGACATAAAACAGGTGCTATTTTATGGGGCGTTCTCTCAAGATAGATGCTTTGAAATGCAAGGGAAACTTATTGTTGGATGAGAAGAAAGTCCGTGATTTTATCCCATCTTTGTCACTCTGCAGGATCAGGTGAAACTCACCTGTCCCCACTGGGCCTCACTCCCCACTTGGAAGAGTTACTCTTGCGGAAAAGGCAAAGCAAAGCCACAACCCTCATTTGTTGCTGTTTGTTTGTTTTTTTCACCCTCCTCAAAAAAATTCTTCAATGACAAGTAGAAACAGGACAGTGGTGGCAAATGTTTGCATTTCCAGGGGGGAGCTGAGTGGAGCCTCTGAACATGCTGCTCCCCGAGCCTGGAAGGCTCTGTGCCCGACGGGCGTGTGGCTGCCTCTAGACAGGTCTTGGCTGAAAAGTCACCTCTCCTGAGAGGCAGTCCCTGGTCTTCCTATCTAACTTGTCCCTCATCACCCTCTGTCACATCGCCTTGTTTTTTTTTTTTTTATATTACTATAAGGCTTTTATTGCCAACAGTACTATACTTTATGGTTGATTAAACACACACACACACACACATATGAATATAACATGTATTTATATTTAATGAAGTCTGGACAAACCAGTATTTGTTAGTTCTTTTAATTTTTTCAATTACAGTTTACATTCAGTATTATTTTGTATTAGTTTCAGGTGTGTAGCATTGTGGTTAGACCATCGTATACTTGACAAGTGTCCCCCTCCTATTTCCACCTAACTGGCACCATACATAGTTATAACAACATTACTGACTATGTTCCCTGTGCTGTACTTGACATCCCCACAACTATTTTCTAACTACCAATCTGTTCTTTTCATCTCCTTGTTTTTGTTAATAACGCTTATCACTCTGAAATTATCATATGGTTTATCTGTCGCTCTCATTAGAATGTAAGACTGAGCTCTGTGTTGCCACTGTGGATCTTCATCATCTTCCACAGTGACTGGAACATAGTAGGCACTCAGGAAATATCGGATGGATGGATGGATGGATGGATGGATGGATGGATGGATGGACCAATGGCCTGATGAGCCCCAAACTGCCTTCAGTTTATGGTTCCTTAGCCCAGAGGGGAAGCCACTATGGTGAAGATAGAAAAGCAAATCTATCAACAGGGTAGTATTAAGCATCCCACTAGCCTCAGGGTTTATTAACACATCATGAAACCCTGTCTGCGGAATCAGAAAGATTAAAAGGAACAGGAGGCTGCTGAGTCAACAGTCAACAAAAGCAAATTTGTTCTTCCAGTGTTAGCTGTTTTAAGGGTCAAGGGAAAGCCCTTGGCCTCACCATCAGCAGGATTTTAGATGAGGTTGCAGTGTTGCAATTGATTGTAGTCACCGTATGAAAGAGCATTTACAATCCAGCCAAATGGTTACAGCATCTGGGGGGGGAAAAGTCTTTATTCCACTATTTCTGTGGTCCCTGATGGCTGGGGAAAAAAATACCATCAATTCTGAGATTTGTGAGGCAAATCCGACCAAACCCTTCATTGGTTGCCTGTATTTTGGATCAGTGGAGAATTCCATCTGTCAGGGCATTTGCTGCATCATAACAGTTGTTGAATTTCCTACAGGCAACAGACGAAGAACTCTGTCTACCGAAGCCGGCAGTCTCTGAATAGCCCAAGTCCCGGGGAAACAGAAATGGACCTTCTGGTGACTCGGGAGCGACCCCGGCGTGGAATTCGTAACAGCGGATATGATGTAAGTCTCTGGTGGGCCAAGGTAAACACAAGCTTTTCTTTCCGTGAAAACAAAAGGTGTAGAGCATTCCATATGTTTCAGTTTAGTATGTAGTTGTGGAATTTAAAAACGCAGTAAAATGTTTTATTATTCCTTGTTATCTATTTTTCAAAGTAAGACTATTTGGAATTGCCAGAGTAGCACATTATTGCTAAAAGGGTCTCAGTTTCTAAATCCAATCATTTATGAATAGTACATTATTAACCTTAAACTCAACAGCAATTTTAAATGTCCTTAATTTTTCCCCTCTCTTCTCAGAAACTTAGTGTGAACTATGGCCGTAGGTTAGAACTCGTTGGAATTCAGGCTTCTTTTAATTCATAGCAATGTTAAGAAGTTGAGTTTGTTGATTACATAACTCCTCAATATATCATGGAAATGGTGAGATGTCAACAGAGTTATCTGGTGATTTCATATGATGAAGTACATGTTATTTGTAATGATGTCTCCAAACTGCAAAAATTCTGCTAATGGCATCAAACTTCCCCAGATGATGGGTTATAGTCTGGTACCTCCTATCGAGTTGTGTACATCCTGTCACATGTCATTGTACCCATGAGTTGCACTCACATGAATGATACCCTGCAGAGATATTCAATGAGCTTCACCCGGCCCCAGAATTTCAAATGGTCTTGAATATACTCTTAGGTCTTATGAAAAGTGTTTATTTCCCATGCTCCTAAAATGTTTATCTTATTACAAATAAGAGATTTTCTGTAATGACCTACGATGCAAATATGTCTAGATAAAGTTTTGTTGTGATTTGAAAATAACACTTGATTACTTAAATATACCATGGTCATTTGAAGGCAAGACTTCTCCCCATCCCCTCAGGATTGGTCATTGTTTTCTACAAAAGCTTAAAATGGGTTTCGTTTTGTTTTTTAATGGTCCAATTAAAACGATTAGATAGTCTACCTAATCTGAATTTCTAATTACCTTTCTTATATTTAAACCTGATGTTTGTGTTGGTGGTGATATTCTTATTATTTATTTCTTTTTCCTTTTTAATATAAGACAGTTTGGTAGTTTAATTTTGTAAAATTCTAAATGTTTTGGGCAAATTATTCCCCCACCCCCACCCCCAGTTAAATTATTCATTGTTCATTTTTCTCCTCATAAAAGTATTTCTTATACCAAATGCAGTCATCAATTTAATAATCAGCCTGTGGTTAAATATTGGGCATTTGACTTTTCCAATTACTCTCTCCCTACCAACAGTGAATATTTTTCCTGGATGCTTGTATGATAGGATTCTTAAGTTATGTCAAGATTGATATTTAGCCCTGGCCGGTTTGGCTCAGCGGTTAGAGTGTCGGCCTGCGGACCTGAGAGACCCGGGTTCGGTTCCCGCTAAGGGCATGTACCTCGGTTGCAGTTTGTCCCCGGCCCTGGTCAGTTGTGCGGGTGGCAACCACTCGATGTGTCCCTTCACATCGATGTTTCTCTCTCTCTCTCTGTTCCTCTCTCTCCCTCCCACTCTACCTGAACAAAAAATGGAAAAATGTCCTCGGGTGAGGAAAAAAAAAAAGATTGATATTTATAGGTTTCTTGTGAGATTCTAGGCACAGAAATTTTTACTGTTTGAGGAAATAGGCCAGAGGTTTCTGTATTAATCTTGAAAAGAGAACATTGCGGTTTTTTATTTTTTAACCACTGTGCCTTGAGTTAGAGTACTCACTTAGTACTTTTGGAATATTGCGTTAGTAAATAACCTAGAGGAAGAGAGGTGGTTTTTAAAAAGAGGTTGCTTACCCCTCACAAACGTCTAAATATTCCAATCACAGATTACTTTAGGGAGGCACTAATAGATTTTTTAAAAATACACATTTCTTTGAGGCATGTATGTGATCTCAGAAACATAAGCAAATATGTTTTCTTAAGAGAAAATGATCATCCAGGGAGCAATTTTAAGAATTTAGACTGTTGACTATAAGAATGAAATTGCTTCCTATATCTCCTCCTCTGTTTTTTATTCTAATCATATGAAAAGTAGCTATCATTTACTGACTGTACCCTGTAGACCAGGGCCTATCCTAGTCTTTCCATGTGTGTTATCTAATCGGAGTTACAAAGTCACCAGTCAGCGAGGTACTCTCATTATGCCCATTGTCCAGATGGGAAAACCAAGTCATAGAGCAGTTACATAATTTGTCTGCTCGTCTCTAGAACCCATTCCCTTAGTCATCTGCATTATGACTTCCATCTACACCCACCACACTAAACATCTGTCCTCACATAACATAATATATATTCTATATTTCTGAATCTCTCTACGAGGCTCGATGTCAGGTCTCACAAGACTTCTCACATGGATAACTCACGTTAGCCAAGAATGGACCAGCACATAAAGTAGAAAAAGAGAAGAGTCCTAGTTTTAAACAATGCATTCGTTTTCTGAGTTGTTGATTTTCCAAAAATACCAAGGCACTCCTGGCAAAAGACGCCATTAGCCCAGCAGTGAACAGGTCATTCAGTTGGACACGTGTCAGTCTTCCTACTGGATCTGGGGAACTTGAAGCCAGGCCAAAATTTCCGGTCATTTCTGCCAGATTAGGAAACACCAGGGGGTCCTGCTCCTTGGGAGAAACAAAAGCCCTGGGAAATTGATTTACTTGTGGATTTGTCCCAAAGTTGACTACTTGAGAGTCCCAGCAGAAAAGCCCTCATGTAAAAATGAAAGAATAAATAAATAAGCAAGTTAACACATGTGCCACAGACAAATGCGTTTGGAGTGAAGGCAGTCTGGATTGTTTCAGAATTTTTCCGTAAATCAGGAGGTGTAAGGGACTGTGGAAGAGAACCCCTTAGTCACCCTAACAACTAAGAGATAACAACACGCTCCTGGCAGCAACTGTGGCTCCGCTGGGTGGTAATTTTCCAGGAGGAGGCAGCCCCTGTAGAAGAATGCATGCTTTTAGAGAGGTGTCCAAAACTGATCACTCCCAAAGGGCCAGACCATATCATTAAACTAAACTTTGACACTGAAATTAATTCCTCCCAGTGCATAATGCGGGTGGAAGAGATAATGTCAGCCTAATATTTAAAAACAAAAATATCTCTATTTCAAAGTTGTTGTTTTTTTCAAATGAAAACCATAGAAAATAATGAAGCAGTGAGGAAAAGAAAATGGCCCAAATGTGAATTCTCAGGCAGAATAAAAACCCAAGTGATTTCTCCTGTTATCAGCCAAATTAATAACTTCTGTATGTGGCTGATGAATCAGCCTTTGCTTCCAAAGGGCAAGTAATAATCAGATCATTCCCCAGAAATGAAAATGCACCTCCTCAACCTTGATTTGTGTTTGGCATTTAAAAATCTGTGACGGGAATGGGTGGGCTATGTGCCCTGGCTGTGAAGGAGACTCTGAGTGCATCGTCTGAATTATACCTTTGCAAACGAGCGCCGACCTCTCCGAAGCAAAGACCTTGGCCAGCTGCTGCACGTAGGTGTGTCTCCAGCGCCTCGCCCAGGGGTCCTCGGGCTGGGGCCGCAGAGCGCTGGGGCAGAGCGGCGGGCTCAGACCCTGAAATGGGGCATTGGTTGGAAATGCCCACCGCTGCATTTCAGAAGCGAGATTGCATGTGGCAACCACACCCGTCAGTTCTCATCTCAGAGGCGTTCTTCAGGGAAATGTTTTGAAATGTTAGTGAACACCAGCTGATTTGACAATGGAAAAGTATATGTAAATCTACAGAAAAAAAAAAAAAAAGAAAGAAAAGGTACTCTATCAGGCAAGGCTCAGCGGCAGAAAACAGAAAACAGTGAGTCATTTAAACAGACAAAAAAATGACTGCGAGGAATTAGGTGGTCCCCAAGTCATGGGAGTGCTGGAGGAAGGTTCCAGAAAGACTGAACAAGAGCACAGGGCTGGGGCTGGGGGGGGGGGGGGCTCCTGCTCTGCCCCAAGCAGGAAGGTGGGAAGCGGCCTGCCCTGGATGTGGGGGGCAGAAGGTTGGGCCCTGCTTCACGGCCTCTGTTCAACCTGCACACCAGGGCATGTAGTTAACAGAACTTAATGTTTCAACCACTGTGCCTCATGGAGGGCTTGGAATGTGTGCAGTTTAACGGGCCAGCCTCAGCACCCCAGGAGTGCACGCTGCAAAGAGGCGGTCCACTTCCCCACTGGGGACACCAGGGAGAGAGAGAGGAGGGATTCCCCACCTGGGACACCAGGTGAGAGGGAGAGGAGGGATTCCCCAGCAGGGGCACCAGGTGAGAGGGAGAGGAGGGATTCCCCAGCAGGGGCACCAGGAGAGAGGGAGAGGAGGGATTCCCCACCTGGGGCACCGGGTGAGAGGGAGAGGAGGGATTCCCCACTTGGGGCACCAGGAGAGAGGGAGATGAGGGATTCCCTACCAGGGGCACCAGGTGAGAGGGAGAGGAGGGATTCCCCACTTGGGGCACCAGGTGAGAGGGAGAGGAGGGATTCCCTACCAGGGGCACCAGGAGAGAGGGAGAGGAGGGATTCCCCACTTGGGGCACCAGGTGAGAGGGAGAGGAGGGATTCCCTACCAGGGGCACCAGGTGAGAGGGAGAGGAGGGATTCCCCACCTGGGGGCACCAGGTGAGAGGGAGAGGAGGGATTCCCCACTTGGGGCACCAGGAGAGAGGGAGAAGAGGGATTCCCCACCTGGGGCACCAGGTGAGAGGGAGAGGAGGGATTCCCCACCTGGGGCACCAGGAGAGAGGGAGAGGAGGGATTCCCCACTTGGGGCACCAGGTGAGAGGGAGAAGAGGGATTCCCCACCTGGGGCACCAGGTGAGAGGGAGAGGAGGGATTCCCCACCTGGGGCACCAGGAGAGAGGGAGAGGAGGGATTCCCCACTTGGGGCACCAGGTGAGAGGGAGAGGAGGGATTCCCTACCAGGGGCACCAGGTGAGAGGGAGAGGAGGGATTCCCCACCTGGGGCACCAGGAGAGAGGGAGAGGAGGGATTCCCCACCTGGGGCACCAGGTGA